GGCCGCCGGGGCCCCTTGCGGGGTGCGCGCCCCGGCCCAGCCATGGGCTTCCAAGGAGGACGGAGGCCGAACCGCGGGCGTCTCGGGCGGGGGGCCTGGCACCACCCGGCAGACGCCTCCCCCTCCGAGTCCGAGCCCCGGGGCCCTCCCGGCCCCTCCCGGGCCCCTCCCGTGTCCCTCCAGGGCGCCCCTGGACGTGAGCGCGGGGCGGTCACCTGCGGCTGCTCACCCGAGGGCCTGCCCGGCTGCCATTTTGTCCCCGGGGTTCTGTGTCCCGGGACCCGGTCAGAACCTCCAGGTCAGTCCTTCCCAGGAGCCCAGCGCTCCGAGGTGCCTTTCAAACCCACCCAGGGCAGAAAGCAGGTCACCCAGGAAGGGCGGCCGAGCAGGGACCCTGCGCCCCACTTTCCAAGCCCAGAGACGGGAATCCGAGTCCTCTGAAGCCCGGCCGGAGGCGTCACAGGCCCCGCGCCTGTGACGAGGCGGCAAGAAGGGGCCTGGGTCCTGCCTCTCCTTTCTCTCAGAAGCACGGGCAGCCCTGTCACGCCCGGCGGTGAGGAAGGGCAACCTGGAGCTCTTCCGCGAGGGGTCCCATGGAGGGGGGGTCCCATGGGGGTCCCGTTGGGAGCTCACTCAGTTCTTACCAGCAAGCAAGCTGTCCCGGCTCCTCAAGAAGGAATCTTAAATGTCAAACCTTGGACAGGCCTCCCTGGGGGCGCAGGGGGTTGAGCACAGCCCTGTGAAGCTGTGGCAGCCTCTGCAGCTCTCCCGGCCAGGGAGCTACCCCCAGGGCGCAGCAGACCCCTCCTGTCTCCCCGCTGCTCCCCTCGGCCGGGTGTCTCAGTGGATCCCCCTGTTCTGCTCCCCGCTCTGTCTCTGGGGAGTCCTCTCACCCCCGCACCTCTGGCCTGCACCCCAGTTCTTGGATGCATGAATAAATAAATCTTTAAAATAAAGAAAGAAAGAAAAGCTTGGGCAGAGTAGGAAGTCCCTTGCAGAGACAGAGACAACGCCCCTCTCCCATCCCCGCTCATGGAATGTGTGGAATTCAGCTCTTCAGCCGCCACTGAGGAGGTGTCTGAGCCCAGAGGCCAGGCCGTGACTCAGCAGCTCCAGCCCCCCACCCCCACCCCGTGGGTGCAGCCTGGGCCTAAAAGCGGGGCTGTGGCCCCCAGCAGATTTTGAGCCACTCACAGAAACATGTTTCATGATTGGAGGGAAGAAAAATATTGGATGGTTTCACCTGTATGTGTAAATAAATAAATTCTTAAATAAAATAAAATAACTACTTTTTTTTTTTTTAAAAGATTTATTGATTGATTGATTTATACATACAAGCACTGGGTACAGTCAGAAGCGCGGGAGGGTGAGAGAATCCACCAGAGCCAGAGCGGGGAGCAGAGCAGGCAGAAGGACCGAGGTACACTGCTGAGGGGAGCAGCGGGCGGCAGGAGGGGTCTGCACGCCATGCGGGACCCTCGGCTGGGATGGAACCGGCGCCGCTGCGCCACCGGGGAGGCCCCAAAATAACTACTTCTTAAAATTAGCACATAGCCAAAATTTTAAATGAAAATCGAGAGATCTCTGTGTCAGTCCTTGTCTTTTACCTGCAGAGGATTAACTATAAATGGCACCTATAGAAGAGCCCAAATTTTGATCATGATCTAAAATTTTAGTAAACAAGAACTAGTACAAATTTAATAGTTTATTTTATTTATTTTTTAAAGATTTTATTTATTTATTTATTTATTTTTTATTTTATTTTTTTTTTTAAAGAGGCATGTGTTTTTATTTATTTATTCGTTTGTTTTTTTTTTTTGTTTATACATGCACTGGGTACAGTCAGAAGCGCGGGAGGGTGAGAGAATTCACCAGAGCCAGAGCGGGGAGCAGAGCAGGCAGAAGGACCGAAGGACACTGCTGAGGGGAGCAGCGGGCGGCAGGAGAGGTCTGCGCACCATGTGGGACCCTCATCCGGTGGCCGGGGAGCAGCCGGGGATCGAACCGGCGCCTCAGAGGCTGCGGGCAGCTTCGCAACCCAGCGCTCAACCGCTGCGCCACCGGGGAGGCCCCAAAGATTTTTTTTATTTATTTATGCACACAGGGACTGGGGTGCAGGCCATAGGTGCGGGGGTGACAGTGATACCGGAATTGTCAGGCCTAGTCTCCCAGCCAGGAACGGATCCCAGGCTGCAGGGCAGCGCTGAGCCCCGGCCACGAGACCCCCACGAAGCCGCGGCAGGAACTTCGCAGACGCTCAGGCCAGCAAGCGAGAAGAGGCAGGTTTGTTTAGAGAGAGAAAAAGTTTATTGAGGAGAAAAAGAGCAGAAATAAAGCGGGACTCCCGGGCCAGGGGAGCAGGCCTGGGAGGGGCGAGGAAGCCAAAGTGGAGTCGTGTCCCAGGGAACATAGACCTTTTCCCCCCATTATCCTACAGCTCCACCCGTCTCTCTGTGATGGGTCAGGTCTCGGCTGTCTCACTTATTAGCTACTGAGCGGGGATCTTCACGTTCCTTCTCTAGCAGCTTTCTCTTTCCCCGTTTGTTGCGTCTTTATCTTTATGGCCCAGTCCTCTGGACGGGCCTCCCTGCATTGAAGCTAAACAGCTGCCCTTCTAAGGGGACCATAAATGAAACCACGCTCCATGTCTCCAATCTCCGCCTCCCTTAACCACCTGAAGGAAACCAGGCCCAGCGTTAACAACGTTGTCCTTGGTCCTGGCATGTTTGTTTTTCCCAGTGGAATGGGTTACATTCCCTTGGTTGTCCTTATCTCTGAAGCCTCCCTAAATTCTTCAGAGGTCCCCTCCTGCACTGTCCCTGAAACTGCCTAATAACCCTAGCTTGCCCTGTGTCTCAAGAGGACTCCCCAGAGACAGAGTGGGGGGAAGCAGAACAGGTGGAATCTCTAGAAACCACTGCCGAGGGGAGCAGCGGGGAGACAGGGGGGGTCTGCTGCGCCCTGGGGGTCACTCTCTGGCCGGGGATGGACTCAGGCCACGGCTATGGGGACAGCCTGAGACTAGGGCCCCCAGGGAGGCCCCTAATGGTTTAGTTTAAAGTGTGCGTGCCTGAAGCCTTTAATATTGGGTATTAGGAGGACAAGGGTGGGGGGCTTCCAGGAGACCCTGGAGTGTTGGTGGCAGAGGTGGTGCCTGGCCTTCGCTGTACGCGTGGACGAGAGCGTGGTGGGGCCTCCCACAGCCCAGCAGCCTCCCGAGGAAAGGCAGGTTGGCCTGGGAGACTTCTCAGATTCCTTCCTTTGGGGCCCTGAGGGGGGTTTCATGTTTGCTTTTCCTGTTTCTCAGGGTGTGGAAAGAACCCTTGAGAACTGGCCTGAACTTGAACCGGCTGGGCCCAAAGGGACACTTGAGTAGGGGGCGGGGCCGACCTGCCGGAGGCGCCAGGGCCGGGCGAGTGGGCTCCTGGCTGAGGTCCTGGCTGAGTTCCGGCCCGCCCAGGTGCAGGGTGTCCCGAGAAGGGGCCTGCAGGCCACCCCCAGGCTGGGCAGTTTCTCAGGGGACGGGCCCTGGGAGGCCGGGGAGGCAGTGGACATGGGAATTACTGGCGCAGCCAGCGCCAAGAGGGACATGGGCGAGGTGCCAGGCGCCCGTGGGTGGCGGGTTGCTGCAGGGAGCCGCGGCCCTGCTCGCGGAGGCAGCGGGCACACACGTGCCTGGCTGGTGCTCCTGGGCTTGGGTCTGGGCCAGGTTAGGGGGCAGGGCACACGAGGTCAGCTCCGTGACTGCAGTCACCGCCCCAGAGGCTGCCGCGCCCCGTCTCCAGGCGGCTCCTGGCCAGGTTCGTGCTCCCCTCAGCGGTGGGTTTCAGTGGATCCACCTGTTCTGCTCCCCAATCTTGTCTCTGGGGAGTCCTCTCACTCCCCGCACCTCTGGCCTGTACCCCAGCTCTTGTGTGCATAAATAAAAAAGTCTTAAAAAACTCCTTTAAAATGGCTGACCATTTAAAGCAAATAGCAGGGGGAGCTTCTGGTGTATGTGCAAGACTGCGTGAGAAGAGCTGAGAGGCTGGGTGCGGGGGCCTTGCCAGGTCCCCCGCGGGGGAGGCGGCAGCGCCAGGGCCAGAGCTGGGCCTGGAGGCTCCCTGTCGACCTGAACGAGTTTTGATAAATTACTAGTGACGAGTAGCGTGAGCCCCAGACTGGAATAATGTTTCTACGCCGAGCTGTGCAACCCGCCAAGGAAACAGAGCACCGGACGAACCCTATCTGACGACCCAGAAAGGCAGGGCGGGCAACAGAGGAACAGGCCGTAGAGAGGGCACGGGAGGCTCACCCCAACCTGATGCCAGCCAGCGTCCACTGCGTGGCCTGGGAGAGCGGCCTGGGCGCTGCTGCTGTGGGACGGGCGGGCGGCGGCGCGTGAGGACTTGGCCTAGGGCCGTTTCTCAGGCTGGAACCCCTCCCTGACACCTGACCACAGGGTGCTGCGGAGGTAGGGCACAGGGGGAGCAGGGAGGCGGGGGGTGGGAGGGGTGGGGAAGGAGGAACCACAGCATCCTGTGGCCACCTGCTGGAGGACGGGGTGCACACATCTCTTGGGGTGACCCCACAAAGCACCTTGAGGTTTCTGCTCCTCTTTCAAGCGAGGGGAGGAGCAGAGCACCCTGGGCCCTTGTGTGCAGAAGCTCCCTACATGAGCCCAGGAGCACCGCTTACCTGCCCCGAACAAGGGTGTCCAGGCCAGTGTGCAGAGCGCCCGCAGAGCACTTTGGGGAGGGTACCCCCTGTGGCTCTGGGGGTCTAGACCTGGGGTGGCTCGCGGGCCCCCAGCACAGATCTGGGAACTAAGTGATAGTTGCGACCCAGGCCAGGTCCCCAGATGAGGTTGTGTGGGGGCGGAAGGCTGCCGCCTGGGATGCCCTGGGCAGAGACTGCCCCCCAGCCGGCCCTTCACCCCTCCCTGCTGCTCCTCCTCCTCTTGCCCCCATCTTCACTCCACACCCTGCCCTGCCAGACCTTCCAGGCTGCGCCGGGTGGGTGCCCAGCAGGGGCCCGTGTGTGAGTGCCGCTGCGTGACTCTTGCTTCCCGATGACCCACGTAGCTGGGAGGAAGGTAGTCCCCCATCTGCACGGCTCCACGCTTTCGGGTGCCCTGGGGTGGGCATATCATGTCAGCAGCAGAGGGCACCGGGGCTGGGTCAGGTGGCAGCGGGGCCGGGCAGGGTGCCAAGGTGACTGTCTCGCTCCCACGGGGAGGCTTTGCCCTTGCTGTGTGGCTCACCTCTGGGCATTGTATTTTTTGGGGGTGCTGACTAGGGCTACGTGCTGGATTTCGGTCTCCAGTTCTCCACCCCGTTCTTTCAATTTTCTATTTTTTTTTTTTTTTAAGATTTTAAGGTACTTATTTATGCATACAAGATCTGGGGTACAGGCCAGAGGTATGGGGGATGCAAGGACTCCCCAGAGACAGAACAGCCAGACAAAATCCACTGCTGAGGGGAGCAGTGGGCGAGACAGGAGAGGTCTGCTGCGCCCTGTTCTCTCTGGCCAGCCGGGGATCGAACTCGTGCTGCAGAGACTGCAGCTTCATAGTGCAGTAGGGAGGCCGGGTGTTTTTTAAATAGCGTAGTTTATTTTTTAAGAAAGGTTTACTTCTGCATACAAGAGCTGGGGTGCAGGCCAGAGGACTCCCCAGAGACAGAGCGGGGAGCAGAACAGGCGGATCCACTGGAAACCACCGCCGAGGGGAGCAGTGGGGAGACGGGAAGGGTCTGCTGCGCCGTGTGGGTCGCTCCCTGGCCGGGGATGCACTCAGGCTACGGCAGAGAGAGCCTGAGACTGACCCCAGGCCACAGGGAGACCCGGAATGTTTTTAATAAATTCAAACTCCGGTACAAACATAGGGCTGCTCCAATGCAGAGTTTCATCGGTGTTGACTTTCAAAAGTCCTTGCTGAGACCTGCTCGCACAGCCAGAGCCCAGCCTGGAAGCGCCCGTCCGAACTCGGCTGCACTCAGAGGCGCGCGCCCAGCGCGGGCCCAGCTCGACCGCGGTCCTGGGACGCTAAGCAAGTGGGCCGGGCCGGCACTCCCGGGGGGAGACACCCCCCACCCTCCCCCCAGCCTGCAGAGAGGTCAAGGGGCCTAAACCAGCATTCTGGAAGGTTCTCTTTCCCTGCCGTTGAGAGCCCCGGCCCAGCCCCTGCCCGTCTGCGCTTCCGCGGGGGTCGGTTCTGGGGGAGACGCCCCAGCGGGCAGGCACCCCCAAGCTGTCCGCGAGCGGCACGGGTCCGCAGCACCTCCCCGCTAAGGATATCTGTGCCCACCGGCACCGCCCCGCACAGTTGGCTTCGGGAGCCTGCCCTGCCAGTGACCCGCGGGTGCCTGCCCTGGGTCTGCCCGCCCTCCCCAGGGCCGCTGCCCTTGAAGGCTCCGCACCTGCGCAGGCGCAGACAGGGGGGGCACGGCACTGGGCATAGGTGGGGCTCCCCAGCAGAGCGGGGTGGGGGCTTAGACGCCCAGAGGTGCGGTGAGCCCAGGCCCCGTTTCCAGGGTGGATGACCTGGCTGGGAGGCGGCCTCTTGTGACAGGGGGACCGCCCTTCACCGGCGCCCCGCCCAGCACCCCTCATGGCGGTGGGGGTTTCTGCCCACCTCAGGACTACTCCCTGGTCCTCCTCGGGCGGGCTTCGGGCCTGCGGACCCCAGCATTCTCCTTCCAGTTCAGGGCCGGACAGGGCACCCCCTCAGTGGGCCCTCTGAGCGGAATGAGGACAGGCCCCATGCCAGCCCCCCCTTTATTCCCAGCAAACGGCAGGGTGTGGGGAAGGCCCCACACCTGCTCCTCCAGCGTGGTGCATGGTGGGCGGAGGCCGGCGTGGGCTGGGTGTCTCCCTGCAGAGGGAACCCCAACTCAAAGGTCTGCTGTCCTCCAGGCTTGAGGCACTGACCAGCCCCCAGGCTGCCTCTGGGTGTGGCGGTGAGGGGGTGACCCCATTTGTCATTGGGCAGGCGGGGGGCTGGAGCTGTCACCCTTGGTGGGCTGAGGGCCCTCTCGGGACCCTGGCTGTAACCCTGCCTGGCCTCCACCCCTGGAGAGCCCTCTCCTGCGGGAGCAAGGCTCTGGGCCTGCCTGGGAGGCCGACCGGCACCTGCTCTCTCCTGGGCGGCTGCGTGTGATGTGAAACTCCCAGGCTCGCGCTCCCGGAGCCGCGTTCACCTGGCCTGCCCAGGGGTCGTGGGGGCCTGCGGGCCAGCCTCAGGGAGCCCCGGCCGGAGGGGCAGTCCTGCTTGCCCCCGTGGGTGGGGCATCGCCCACCTGTACCTATGGCAGAGCCGGCCCTGGGCGGGCTGAGGGTCCTTGGGAGGCGCGGTGGGCCTGCTGCCTTGCAGGACACCAGTCCGTGTCGGGGTAGAGCAGGCAGTGGACAGACTTGAACCTGGGGAGAGACAAGGGTCAGGGCTGTGGGAGGGGCGGCGGCTGCTCGCCCGCCCTGCTCACCGCGCAGCTCCCCCACCCCTCACCGCGTGGGGTCCTGCTGCAGGCTGAAGCCTCCGGCCACGTTCACCACGTTCTGGGGGTTCTCTGGACCCCCGTAGCTCAGTGTGACCTGGGCGGGAAAGACAGATGAGGCACCATCTGGGGGCCATGGCTACCACCCTGTGGCCCTGCTCATTGGGGAGCAGCCCAAGGGCCCTGCACACTGGGAGACACCCCAGGAGAGCGGCCGATGCCCAACGGGGGTCTAGTGGTGCAGACCCACGGCCTTTCCTCCTCAGCAGGCTGGTCTCCACCAGGTGTCTGCATGCTGCCCAGAGGACCTGGGCCCCGTCCCGGACAGGGCAGCCCCCGTGCAAAGCCGGTGACCCCTCTCCGGACCTGCAAGACACGTCTAGGGCCCCCACCACGTCTCTGCAGCTCTGGCCCTCAACTACACCCCCCGCGGCCTTGTGAGAGCAGCCTCGGGGTGATGGTGGGGTGTACCCGCTGGGGCACGAACCTGCTGAGGCACGCTGTCGGGCGGCAGGCGCCGCAGGTTCTCCAGATGGGAGTGGAAGAGCGCGCTGGGCCGCAGGTGGGCGCCCAGCAGCCCCTCCACGATGTAGCCCACGGTGCAGTCGTCCGGCAGCCGCACCCGCTCTGCCGTGCTCATGAAGCTGCCCATGCTGCAGGCGGGAGCAGTCAGGGCCTCGCCCCACCCCAGGCCCCCACCCCAGGGCACCCCTGCCCTTACCTGGCCCAAGGGCTCATCTTGAGGGCGAGGCCCCGGCTCAGGCAGAAACCAGCACCCCCAGTCGCGAACCAAAACTTGACGGTGGTCACCTGGAGGGGGGATGCTGGTCAGAAACACCCCTCCTGAAGCTGCCCCTCAGGAAAGAGGCACTAGGCCTGTGGGGTTCATCGCTCCCCGCGGCCATTGCCCCTGCCCAGTGCCCACACCCTCCCAGGACCCGTGGGAGATGAGGCCCCGCCGGCCGCTCTCCCCTGCCGCCTGCCCCGCGGCCACTCACGGTTCCACCTCCCTGGACCCGCTCGGTGGCCTCAATGGGGTGGTCCAGGCTGGGCCGCCCCAAGTACACGTCCTGGCTGGGGGAGAAGGCGGACAGCAGCTGCAGCAAACCCCGGGGGTTCACGTAGTTGTCATCGTCCACGTGGCAGAACCACCTGGGGGTCGGGAGTCTCAGCTTACAAGCCAGGCCCCGCCCTGCCCCGCCCGCGGGGCTGCGGGGGGGGGGGGGCGGGGGGGGAGGCAGGGTCCAGGCCTGGCCAGGCCAACACGCACTTGCGCCCTGACTCGATGAACTTGTCGTACTCCACCGACATCTTGCAGCACAGCGCCTGGCGGGTGCGCACAGCCGAGCAGTTGGTGTTGACCACGTGGCTCCCTGGAGAACAGGATGAGGCGTGTGGGGGCCCAGCCAGCCCCCCAGGTCTGGGCGAGCGTGCCTACACCTGACCTGCTGCAGGCCCCGAGGCTGGACCCCACCCCGTCCCAGCTCGGCTCAGCCCCCAGGCTGCTGCTGACCTCAGGTCCGGGCCCATGACACCTGCCAGGGCCCCGGGACGGGCTGAGGTGGCCCAGGCCTGCGAGATGAGCCTGGGTGGGGGGATGCCCCCCCAGGCTTTCCCTGGACGTGGCACCAGCCCGAGGCCCAGCGGGGACAGGGAGGAGGGGCCGGGCTGGCAGGGGAGCCCTGGAGGAGGCCCGCAGGGGCGCGAGGCGGGTCTGCCCCTACCCGGCCCATCCCAGGGGCCTCCCAGGCCTCGGCCCGGGGCCAGGAAAGACGGCGGGGCCGGAGCGCGCTCACCTCCCTGCAGCCGCAGCTCGGGGTCGTCCCCGTCGGTGAAGATGAACGTCTGGGGAGACAGGGCGTGAGGCGCGCCCGCCCGGGCAGGCTGTCCCGCAGGCCGGGCTGGGGGCGCGGGGGGCGCGGGGGCGCGGGGGGCGCGGGGGCGGGGCGCGGCGGGCCGGGCGCACCTGCCGGCGGGCGCGGGAGATCCAGGTGCGCAGCAGCAGCGCGAGGCGCGGCCCGTGGTTCCGCCGCGTGGTCTTGACCGCGATGAAGACGTCGTCGGGCCGCAGGCGGGGCGCGGCGGGCGGGCCGGGGCGGCGGGCCGGGGCCGGGGCGGGCGCCGGGGCCGGGGCGGGCGCGCGGGGCAGCGGCAGCGGCAGCAGCAGCAGCGCGGCCAGGGCGGCGGCCGCGGCGAGGCAGCCCCGGCACAGCGCGCCCCGCGCGCGGCTCATGCGGCCGCGGCACCGGCGGCTCCGCCCGCGCGCGCGGCCCCTTTAAGACGCCGCGACCCGGAAGCGCCTCCTGCCCCGGAAGCGGACGCGGAGCGAAGATGCCGCTGCCGGTCCAGGTGTTCAGCCTGCAGGTACCGCGCCCGGCCCGGCCCGGCCCGGCCCGGCCCGCCCCCGCCGCCGGCCCGCCCCCGCCGCCGGCCGCGCCTCGGGCCGCGCGCGGAGCGGACCCCGGGGGAGGGCGGCCCCCAGCGCGCCCGCCCCGCCCGCCCCGCCGCCCGCCCCGGGGGCCGCCCCGCCGCCCCCCGCCCGTCCCGCCCGCCCCGCCCGCCCCGCCGCCCCCCGCCCGCCCCGGGGGCCGCCCCGCCCGCCCCGCCGCCCCCCGCCCGTCCCGCCCGCCCCCGCGCCCGCGGGCGCCCGTCCCCGGGCGGCCGCCGCGGCCGGGAGGGCCGGGCCGGAGCGGGGCCCAGGCGGGGGCGCCGTGCCGGCCGCCGCGGTGCCAAGGTCCCGCCGTGTTGCAGGGGGCCGTGGAGCCCATGCAGATCGACGTGGACCCCCAGGAGGACCCGCAGAACGCCCCCGATGTCAACTACGTGGTGGAGAACCCCACCCTGGTACGGAGCCGCGAGGGGCCCTCCGGGTGCGGTCGGAGCCCACCTGACCTCGGACTTAGGGGTTCCAGCCGCCTCCGCGGGCGTGTTACCCAGCACCCCCCTCCCCGGGCGCCGCGCAGGCCAGTGAGACCCGCAGAGCTCTCCTCCAGGGGTCCCTGGTGACCCCACCGGACGGCCTTTCCCAGCTCTCAGGTCCATGGTGGGCAGGGCCTGGGGTGGCCCCTCATCCGTGTCCCCCAGGACCTGGAGCAGCCCCTCACCCGTGTCCCCACAGGACCTGGAGCAGTACGCAGCCAGCTACAGCGGCCTGATGCGCATCGAGCGCCTGCAGTTCATTGCTGACCACTGCCCCCCGCTGCGGGTGGAGGCCCTGAAGATGGCCCTGTCCTTCGTGCAGAGGACATTCAACGTGGACATGTACGAGGAGATCCATCGGAAGCTCTCAGAGGCCACCAGGTGGGGCCGGGGCCTCGGCCAGGGAGGGCTGGGAGGCCTGGGGAGGGCGCCTGCAGGTCTATCCTGGGGGCTCCTGGATGGGGACTGGCCAGCATCCAGAGCCAGTGGGGTGCCCTCCTGGCAGGGCAGGGGCAGGCAGGCCCCCTGACTTGCCCACCAGCCCCTGACAGCCAGGCCTCCCCAGGGAGCTGCAGAGCGCCCCTGACGCCATCCCCGAGAGCGGTGTGGAGCCCCCACCCCTGGACACGGCCTGGGTAGAGGCCACGCGCAAGAAGGCCCTGCTGAAGCTGGAGAAGCTGGACACAGACCTGAAGAACTACAAGGGCAACTCCATCAAGGAGAGCATCAGGTGCTGGTCTCGGTGGTCCCCTCCTCCCCTCCCCCCCGCCCTCCACTCTCCACTCACCGCCGGGCCCACAGGCGCGGCCACGACGACCTCGGTGACCACTACCTCGACTGCGGGGACCTCAGCAACGCCCTCAAGTGTTACTCCCGGGCCCGGGACTACTGCACCAGCGCCAAGCACGTCATCAACATGTGCCTCAACGTCATCAAGGTGGGCGCTGCGCACAGCGGTGGGGGGCTGTCACCCTGCGGTGGGGCACCCCGCTGAGTGGGCCCGCCCCCGCAGGTCAGCGTCTACTTGCAGAACTGGTCTCACGTGCTCAGCTACGTCAGCAAGGCCGAGTCCACCCCAGAAATCGCCGAGGTACTGCCACCCGGCCCTCGACCAGCCTCGTCATCCACTCGGGCCAGGGCCGGGGCCGCCCCGTGAGGGGGGTGGCGTCTGCTCTGCTCACGGTGCCCCCTTCCCCTGCAGCAGCGAGGGGAGCGGGACAGCCAGACCCAGGCCATCCTCACCAAGCTCAAGTGTGCCGCAGGTGAGGGCTCTTGGCCCTGAGCAGGACACAGCTGACCCTGACCCCCTCCCCCCCCACCTCCCCCCCCCCCCCTGAGGGCTTGTCCTGTCGGGTCTTCACCCCGGGGGGCGGGTCGCAGCGGGGACCCTGCCCCCCGCCCTGCGGAGCCAGGCTGCATATCCTGGGAAGCAGCGGTGCTTGGGCAGCAGCCTCCCCACTGCCAGGACTTGTCTGCGGTGCTGGGGGCTCCGGCAGCCCCCTCGGGAGCTAGAGCTCTTCCCCCACCCAGGTCTGGCCGAGCTGGCGGCGCGCAAGTACAAGCAGGCTGCCAAGTGCTTCCTGCTGGCCTCCTTCGATCACTGCGACTTCCCCGAGGTGAGGGCTCTGGGCCGCGGTCTCCCACGGGGCCTGGCCTCCTCTGAGGGGTGAGGGCTGGGGCCGCCCCAGCTCTAGCTCTTGACCCCAGCCCCGGGCCCCACCTCTCCGGCCCCCAGCTGCTCTCCCCCAGCAACGTGGCCATCTACGGGGGCCTGTGTGCCTTGGCCACCTTCGACCGGCAGGAGCTGCAGCGCAACGTCATCGCCAGCAGGTGGGTGCAGGGCGGCCACAGCCCCCGGGCCTGGCCTGCACCGGGCAGCTCTGAGGCCCCTGTGTCTGCAGCTCCTTCAAGCTGTTCCTGGAGCTGGAGCCGCAGGTGCGTGACATCATCTTCAAGTTCTACGAGTCCAAGTACGCCTCGTGCCTGAAGATGCTGGACGAGATGAAGGTGAGGCCCCGGCCTGTGGCGGGGAGGAGCCTGGGGGGCCCGTGTGGGCGGCCCTGACAGCTCTGCTCGCAGGACAACCTGCTCTTGGACATGTACCTGGCCCCCCACGTCAGGACCCTGTACACGCAGATCCGGAACCGGGCCCTCATCCAGGTAAGTGCGGGGGGCGGAGCACGCAGGGCCTGCGGCTGGGTCGGCCGCGGGGCAGCCAACGCTCCCTCTGCCCCAGTATTTCAGCCCCTACGTGTCGGCGGACATGCGCAAGATGGCCACGGCCTTCAACACCACGGTGGCGGCGCTGGAAGACGAGCTGACGCAGCTCATCCTGGAGGGGCTCATCAACGCCCGCATCGACTCCCACAGCAAGGTGGCGGGCGGGCAGGGCAGGGCAGGGCCGGGGAGCAGGGTGGGGCTGGTGCTGAGCCCTCGTCCCCCCAGATCCTGTATGCCCGGGACGTGGACCAGCGCAGCACCACCTTCGAGAAGTCCCTGCTGATGGGCAAGGAGTTCCAGCGCCGTGCCAAAGCCATGATCCTGCGGGCGGCCGTGCTGCGGAACCAGATCCACGTCAAGGTGAGGGCTGGGCGGCCGGGCTGGGGCGGCCCCACCGCCCAGGCTGAGCGGCCGTGTCTCCGCACAGTCCCCGCCCCGGGAAGGAAGCCAGGGGGAGCTGACCCCGGCCAACAGCCAGTCCCGGATGAGCACCAACATGTGAGGCCGCCGCGGCAGCCGGGCTGCAGGACGTCTCCCCCTCGCCCCGCCCCGGACCCTGGCCTCTGCCCGCCTGCGCGGCTCTCCTGGAGGGGCCGTCCGCGGCCCACTTGCCAAGGCCCGGCCGCTGGAGAGCAGACCCCGGGCCCCGCTTGTCGTGCCCCTCCAACCTGCAGCCTCCCGTGCGGGGGTCCTGGGTCCAGGCGTTGCAGACAGAGCTCGCCTGCAGCGCCCCGGCCCCAGCGGCACCACCACCCGCCCCGTCCACCTGCTGAGGGGGCCGCTGAGTCTCGTCCATTAAAGGGCAGCCTGAGAACACGCCTTTGCACTGTTCTTGCCCGCAAGGGTCCTGGGGACTCCCCCTGGGGTCAGGTTCTGAGGCAGCCCCTCGGCCCAAACCCTGTTCCCCCCGGCCCCCCACATTTAGGCAGCGAGTGGGGCTGGTGTCCTGCCCTTCTTTGGGAGGTTCCGTGGCTAAAATGCAGATCGAGGCGGATGGCCCTCCGCCTGGCCCGCGCGCCGGCCCCACGCCCGCCCCCTGGCACCACCGGCGCTGCACGTGTGGCTCGGAAACGGTTTATTGTTGGCTGCGGGCGCGCGGCAGGGACGGCAGGTCCGGCCGGGGTGGGGGCCGCTGGCTCGTCCTCCGTGTTAAGTAGCGGGAGGTTCCCTGAGCGGAAGGCATGGTGCCCCCCAAGCGTCCGGCCTCCCTGGCATTCCTGGGGGCGGTGAGGGGGGCAGCGGAGCCCCGGCTGGCCCTTCAGGCCAGGGCGCTGGCCAGGACCTCGGGGAGGCCGCCTGCTGAGGCTCCTGCAGCCTGGGCTGGGCCCCCTTGCAGGCCAGAGACTTCTCCAGTTTGGTCTTAAAAAGCAACCCGTGACCTGGCGGAGGGCGAGAGAGGAAGGGGGCTTAGATGGGGGGCGGGGGCGAGGTGGGGGGTGCTGGCATGGGCCGGCCTCAGCTCCGCGCCCACCTGGGCAGTCCGCCGTCTCCCGGAAGGCCCGCTTCTTGCAGCAGCCGCGGCACAGGTCAAACACGCATCTGCTGCCCTGGGGGAGGGGGGGGATGGCGGGGCGCCGTGGCGGAGGTGAGCTGGGGCGGGGCCGCCCCGCCCCTCCCCGGCCCACCCAGGGCTCCGCCTCACCTTCGGGTTCCCACACTGGTCGCACTTGGCGTATTTCGCTGGGAAAAGAACCAGAGTCGGTGCCGGCGGGCAAGGCGAGCCCCACATGCCCGCCTATGCCCGCCCCTGGGTGTCCTCGCTCTCCCCCGCAGCCAGGGCCACAGGGGCCCTCAGGAGCAGCCTCACCTGGGTGAGGGCCCTCCTGCCGGTGTCCCCACGGCCAGAGCAGCCGGGTCTGGGGGCTGGCCCAGGACCAGCCACGACCACAGCGCCCCTGCTGCGTGGCTGGCACACCAGCTCCCTGCCTCCGGCGGCCATGGAGCCCCGTGAGCTTGCAGCAGGATGCAGGTGGGGAGGGCCCAAGGCTGCCCCTGCCCCCGCCCCCCAGGCCCTCACGTCTCAGCGAGGGGTCGAAGGTCTTGCGCGGGTTCCTCAGCTGCTTCTTCTGCTTGTTCCTGGACAAGCCCTCTGAGCCACCTTCCTCCTCCTCCAGGGCCCGCTTGCTTCGGGCCCCTCCACTCTCCTGGCTCCCCTCCTTGGGTCTGAGTGGGAAAGGCAGTGGCAAAGCCCAGGACAGACCCCCACTCGCCGTGCTCCCGGGTTAGGGCTGGATGGCTGAGCAGAAACTGGGGTACAGGATGCAATGAGCCACGCCTCCCACACCCGGGTCTTGGGGTGCCGCCCCTAGGGCCTCAGCCACTGGCCCCCGAAGACCTGCAGGACGCCAGGGCCCAGCCCACCGGGATGGGTGGGCTTAGGAAGCATCTTGCTGGGAAGCAATGGTAGCCCTGAGTGCTGACCGACCAGCAGAGCCCAGAGGGACCAGTGGGGGGCCCCACGCCCTCCCCCCCCCAGAGCTGGTGCTGGGCTCACCCTGGCCGGAAGTAGGGCTGGCAGATCCAGTGGAAGAAAGGCAGGCCGCCCGAAGGTCCCTCTCCCTCCTTCTGCCTGGACATGTCCTCCTGCAACCAGCCCAGAGCTCCCTTGGTCACGAGCCCATGCTCGCTGGCCACCCGGCCCGCAGCCCAGCACCTGCCTGGCTCCGCAGCTTCAGCTCCTGACTCACTGTGGCGACACCCTCCAGGGTCTTGGCCTTGGCCAGCTCCTCCCGGAGCTGCTGGTGCACCTGCAGCCTGAGACCAGGGCTCATCACGCCTGCCCGCCTGCGCTACAGGGCCCCCGGCTCCCCGGCCTCGCTGTGTGCCCCTCCCTCCCAGGCGACCTCGCGGGCGTGCTCTGGCCGCTGTTTCCGGGGGGCCCGCATCACACCCCCCACGTCCCAAGCGGGGCTCCCCTCATGGTTGCCGTGCGGGCAACTCACGTGTGGTGCCACAGCTTGAAGAGGTGGGCCCGGACGTAGGACAGGGGGCAGGGGTGCTGCCGCACGAGGTCCAGGTACTCCTCGGCCAGCTCCCACACGGCCGGGCTGCGGCCCTCAAACAGCGCGGGGTTGTGCAGGTTGCCCTCTGGGAGAGATGGGGCTCGAGGCTGCGGCGGGCGTGCCCCAGGCCCTGGGGTGCACCCCCGCCATGTCACACGCCAGGGGCCGGCTGGCCACTGGCCTGTGACTGGCCACGCGAGGGGCGGGCGGGGCGGGGCTCACCTGCGCTCATGACCCCCTGCACCCCCGTGTCCCGGAGGCAGCGCTCCACGTCATGCAGGCTCCGGATGTTCCCGTTGGCGAACACGGGGATGGTCACCGCCTTCCTGGGCGGGCGGGCGGGGGTGGGCGCTCAGAGGGGAGCCCCACCCCACCCCACCCCAGCCTGGGCCCGCCCCGCAGCTGAGCACTCACCGCACAGCCTTGATGTGCTCCCAGGATGCAGCGCCCGACAAAGGCCCCTTCTGCTCCTTGGTGCGCCCGTGCACGGTCAGCAGCTGGGGCAGGGGGGCTGCTCAGCCGCGCCCCCGGCCCACCCACAGCCTGGCCCGCCCCGGGGTCTCCTCCCGCACAAGTCAGGCCGGCCCGCGCACTGGTGAGCCCCACTCGCCGTGAAGGAAAGTCCCGAGGGGCTCCCCGGGCAGGACCGCCCCATTGGCACAGGCCCGCCGCGGTGGGCAGGGCGGCCGGCCTCACCTGGCAGCCGGCCTGCTCCAGCATCCGGGCGTAGCGCACCGTCTTGTCGATCTCTGGGAAGACGCGGATTTTGCACGTGACAGGGACAGAGAGTTTCTCGTGGGCCAGCAGGACTGGGGGAGAAAACCCAGCGCTCACCCCAGGCTGTGGGGCCCACGGCGCACACCCAGGGCCCTGCGGCAGGACGGAGCCTCAGTCCACCCCCTCAACCCCGGTCTGGCTCTGAGGGTGTGGGCGACGCGTGACCTCCCACGGCCGACTCACTCATCCGCTGGAGCAGGTCCCACTCCTCCTGCAGGAAGGCGCCGTAGTGACCTGTGGGGACAAGCGCCGCCTCTGCAGCCGCCCCCACTCGCCAGCAGCCGGGAGAGCGTCCCCAGCCAGGGCAGACACCGGGCTGGGTGGGGACGCACCGCCAGCCCCCCTGCACCCTGGACGCAGAGCGGAAACTGGCCCCACCCCTGCAAAAGCTGTGCTAGGGCCCGCGAGGGGAGGAGCTGAGGACAGTCCCCAGGACCAGCCTGCCTTGGCACTGTGCAGGGACCTGAGCCCAAGTGCCGGCGTGGCCCTCACCTCTCTTGGCAATCATCTGCGGGCACCCCAGGTTCAGGTCGATGGCGTCACAGTAGTCCTGGGCCAGGAGAGCTGCCTGGACGAACACCTCGGGGTCGTTGGCACAGAACTGGAAGGACACGGGTGTCACGGGGCCCGAGGCAGGCGGTCTGGCCCCTCGGGTGACCTGGTGGGGGGTGGCCACAGGCGTCCTCTCTGGGAGAGGGTGGACGTGTCCCCACAGCACCAGGGGTCCCCGTTGATGGGAGCAGAGCCCGGGGTCTGTGGGTGACGCCTGGCCCTAGGGGGGGGCCCAGCTCCTAGGCCGGTGGGTAGACCGCTTCTGGGCAGCGCGGGGCAGGTCCCCACGCTCGCCAGGCCCTCCCCTCAGGTCCCTGCCGCTGTGGGCAGTGGCTGGACCTTCTGGGCCACCCACCTGCACGATGAGGGGCCGGTCCTCGGGGCACACGGCACAGTACAGGTTCTCCTTCCGGTAGTTGGCGTCGCGGACGAAGACCTGGGCGTGCAGCATGGGCGTGTAGCAGAGCTGGGCCCCGTGGCGCCGGCTCAGCAGCCTCCAGGCCAGCTCGCTCTGGTCCACCATAGGGGCCACCACGTGGCGGGCCCCCCCCAGGGTGCGGCTCCAGAACTCGAAGCCCTGCAGCTTGGGCATGGTCTGCGCCCTAGGGGAGAGGTCGGGCTCAGCGGGAGCCCCCTGCAGGGGCACTCCGGGGCGTGCCCCCTGGCTGCAGGCGGTGCGGGTCAAGAGCCCAGCGCCCCAGCTGGGCCCGGCAGGGGGCCCTGGGCAGGCCCCGCCCGGCCTTCACGCCCCTGGCCCCGGGAGACGCGACCCGCGGCCTCGTCCTGGCCGCCAGGTGGCCGGAGCCCGGCCCCAGGAGAGGCGCCCCGGCCGCCCGCCAGGCGGGGCCCCCGGCAGGGCCTCCGTCCAGCCTGCCCCCCGCGCTGCTCCGGGGTGTCGCTGCGAGGCGACCCGCTGGGCCGCGGGGGCCCTGCCTGCCCGGGGCCGGCTGCCCGGCGCGAGGGCGCCCCTCGGCGGCGCGCGGGCGGCTCCGCAGGCCCCGCCCGGCACCTGCCGCGGCGCCCGCTCGCGGGGTGGGGGTTTTCGGAAATGGCTACGGACGCGCGAGCGGCCCGGCCCGGCCCCGCGGCCCCCACCTACCCGCCGGCCCGGCTCGCGGGCGGTCGGGCGCGGTGCCGCTCGGGGCGGGCAGCTGCCGGGCCGCCGGGCCCAGCGCCGCCGGAAGGTGCTTCGCCTGGGCGGTCCGGGCGGCCCGCGTGCGTCGGGAAACGCGTCCCCGGGAAACCGCGCCCGCTCGCGGAGGGGCCGGGGCTCGAGGCGGGGCCGGGCCGGGGTCGGGGCTCGAGGCGGGACCGGGGGCCGGGGCCGGGGCCGGGGTTCGAGTCGGGCCGGGGCCGGGTCGGGGGCCGGGGCTCCGCCGCCCTCGAGGCCTCGGCTCCCCGCAGGGCCGGCGCGGCCGCCGAGTCGGGCCGAGGCCGCGGTTTCCCGCGGGGGCCGCACGCGCGAGCTTCGGGCCGGCCCGGCCCCCTCCGAACCCGGACTCGGCCGCCGCCCGCCCGGGCCCTGCGCCCCACTTCTCCAGGCCGCGCCCCGGTACCTCCCGACGCTGGGAAGGGCGGCCCGCTGGGCCCGGGGCAGGGCGGTTGGGCCGGAGGCGAGCCCGCCGGCCCCTGGGGGGACGCGCCCCCGGCGCCCCAGCGTGTCCGCAGGCCCCGCGCACCGGCCGCCCTGGCTCCGCGGGGCCGCAGGGCCTGGGTGGGGAAAAGGAAGGCCCAGTCGCCCGTGCTTTTGTGACTGTCCATCACACGCCGAGGTGCCCGTCTTCACAGTAAACCCGCCATTAAATTAACTTTATCCTTCACCCCAACGGCGCCCGGCGCTGCCAGCCTGCACCCCAGCCCGCTCCAGAACTGGAGGTGCCTGGCCCAAGGGCGAGGCGCCAGGGCCCAAGGGGCGCCATCCCTCCGGAGCAGGCGCGAGGACGGACCGGCTAGGGCCGCGCTGGAACCAGAAAGTAAAAACCTTTCAGGGCGGGAGCCGCAGAGCTCCCCAGCCCGGCCAGTCAGAAGCTGCCAGGGCCTGTCGCTGTAGCTGACCCAGAGGGCTGGCTGCTGGGGGCGCGGGGGGCTGCCCTGAGAACCGTGTCGCCTAAGTAATTTTCTCTAAGGGTGGCTTAGAAATGCAAAAAAAAAAGGGGGGTAACACTTGGATGGGTCGCCTGATCGGCACTGGTGGGGCTTTTCTTCCCCACGACACCTGGGCTGGGACAGGGTCAGCGCCCCAGGCCTCCTCTGTCCGGCCTTGATTCACTTCAAGGGGAGGCCTTGGTCTAAAGATAACATGCATTTGCACTAAAAAAATTCGAATTCATTTGTTTCTTTCTGTCTCTGTGTGGCCACTAGAACATGTGTCCACGTGCAAGTGCACTTCTGGGACAGCAAGCTGAGGAGCAGCCAGTCCCTCCCAAGAGTATTTCAGTGGATCTGCCTGTTCTGCTCCCCGCTCTGTCTCTGGTGAACCCTCTCACCCCCGCACCTCTGGCCTGTACCCCAGTTCCTGTATAAAAATAAACCTTAAAAAAAAAAAAGAGTAATAAGGAAACTGCACAGAAGTGCTTAACGTGACTGTGTCAGGACTCTGGACGCCGACCAACGCACACAAGAAGTGCTTATTTTAAAAGGCGGTTATCAGTAACAGCCTAGGGACAGTGGGGGTGTGTGGAGTCGGTGTGGGCTGACCAGCACTTCCTGGCACCCCAAGGTAACCCCACAGGGGCCAAGTAGGTCTTGAGGACCGGAAGCTGACTGAGCTGAGAGGGCGGCTGCCGGGGGAGGGAGCCCAGGACCTTTGTCAGAGCATTTGCAACCCCAGCTCAGAGCATTTGCAACCCTGGCTCAGCTGCCCGGGACTGGTTAGAGCAAGCAATGGCGGGTCAGAGTTGTGACAAGGATATTCAGTGACTAAGACAGCCGTGAGGGCCCCTGTGTGCTCGCTGGGGAAAGGCTAGAGCAGGCGCCACACACAACAGTCCTCTCTGGCCTAGCACGAGGCTTTGCACAAGCGAGAAGGAAAGCAGCGGGAAAGGCCGGGGCCAAACTTCAAACGGTTTGACCCACAACGGTGTCTCCAGCCCATGCTCAGAGCTCAAGGCAGAGGGCGAGGCTCGGCTGCTTCAACGTGTTTAAACATAATCTTTAATCAATCATTGACTGGCCGCTGAACTTTACTGACCCGGGGGCAAACCTAGGAAACCCTTCTTACATATAAGGAAACAGTGGGGGGGAAACCAATAAAACGGGGCCTCGCTGGGGGCGCAGGGGTTAAAGTCTCAGCACTATGCAGCTATCGCCAGCCACTGTGGCCTGAGTTCAATCCCCGGCCAGGGAGCTACCCACATGGTGCAGCAGACCTCTCCTGCCTCCCCGCCGCTCCCCTCAGCAGTGGGTTTCAGTGGATCTTCCTGTTCTGCTCCCCACTCTGTCTCTGGTGAATCCTGTCACCCCGAACTTCTAGCCTGCACCCCAGCTCTTGTATGCATAAATAAATAAATCTTCAAAAAATAAAGAAATAGGGTCTCCCCGGTGGCGCAGTGGTTGAACACTGGGCTGCGAAGCTGCCCGCAGCCTCTGCAGCGCTGGTTGGATTCCCGGGTGCCTGGCGAGGGTCCCACATGGCGCGCTGACCTCTCCTGCAGCCCGCTGCTCCCCTCAGCAGTGTCCTTCGGTCCTTCTGCCTGCTCTGCTCCCCGCTCTGGCTCTGGTGAATCCTCTCACCCTCCTGCACTTCTGACTGTGCCCAGTGCTTGTATAAATAAATAAATAAATCTTAAAAAAAAAAAAAAGGAATGAACACTAAAGCAATATATTAAAATTTATGTGGTACAGCACAAGCAATTCTTCAAAGGTAGAGACAGATGCGAGTTACTTGTGACAACCTGACCAGATGTGACCAGATGTGACCAGCTGGGGCTGGGAGAAGGGCCACCTGGGCCAGGGAGACCAGACGCCCGCCACTGTAGGTGGGGTCACCAGGAGCCCCTTCTCTGTGGCCCTGTCCGTCCCTGCGTATCCAGCGCCCAGGACCGCGCTCCTCTGGCCCACTTGCATCTCCTCTGACAAACTAACGGGGCCCCGCTCGCTCAGCCCCTGGGGTAGGGTCAGGGGGCTGTCAGGGCCGGGCTGCTGAGGCCAGCCCCCCTCCAGTGCCCCTCCTGCCCGCCACTGGTGTCTAGTTCCGAACGTGGGATGTGGCCCGGCACCTGGCCTGAGCTTCCTCTGTCCTCGCCCCTGTCCCTCCAGGGCCGGCTCTAGGGCCCCACCAGGGGGGGTATAAGAAGAGTCGTGCTCCAGCTGGTGGGTTTGGGACTTCGTGTGTGGAGCAGCCATTGTGCAGACTCCCGAGCATGGAGGGCAGGTGCTCGGCGCCCACCTGTGTCTTCCCTCCCTCTGGGACGGCCCCGGAGGCGGGGGCCACTGCCGCCTCCTTCCCCAGCCTCTGGCTCCGGGGCTGGGCCCACGGCCCGGCGGCCAGCCGCGCCAGGAGGGAGAGCATGGCCTGCGGCCTGCTGCCTGGAGCAGGGCCGGGCCAGGCGCCTCGGGAGCTCAGCACAGGGACGGGGTCGGCAGCTGTTGCGTGCGGAGGCCACCCCCCCACAGAGAAGGCCCTGCGGGGTCTGCTGAGCCCCTTCGCTGCCCCGCGAGCCTGCCCCCCACCCCCCAGCCCGAGCTCAGCAGCGCCCACACCAGCCCTTCGCCCCTCCTTTGTGGGGCTGGGGGCTGGGAACCCGGGGCTCAGGCTCCGCAGAGCAGGCAGATGGAGGGCGGGGCCGGCACTGGGCCAACTCTGCCCGCTCTTGGGACCCACCCGCCACCACTCTGGTCTCCTCCCTTTCTGCTTCCCTTGCTCTGCCATCACCACCCACCGCAAGGTGGTTGTTGGTGCCTCCTCAGGCTTCAGGTGCTGCCCGGCGGCCTCAGTGCCACTCTGTGCCCTGACACCAGCTTCTCTCTGAGGCGCTCCTCTCCCCACCCCCGGGCAGGCTGCAGAGCAGGGCAGCGGCCTGGGGGCCCCTGCTCCACCCTCAGGGCCACACCGGACCCCCAGACCAGGGCCGGGCACTCCCCGCCGCCTTAGGGGTCCTCACACCGGAGGCCCAGCTCGGGCCCCGGGGGTCCTGCCCGGGAAGCCTGTGTAGCCTGGTGTCCGGGTCTCCGTGGCCTCCCGTTGTGCGCGGACTGGCCGCTCCCGGGCCCCAAGTGCTGGCGCTGGGCTGGGGCGTCAGCAGAGTGGGGCACCAGGGCCCATTGGGAAGCTCTGACCCCAGCGGGACACAGCACAAGGCGGCAGCCCGAGCACGGGGAGGCCGTGGCAGTGGACAGCAGCCCCGGGGGCTGCCCCTCACCCTTGGGTGATGTCCTGCAGGTAGAGTGCGAAGTTGCTCGTTTGAGGAATTGCTTCTTTTCTGATCTAGGCCTTTGGGGTCCAAGGCCCCGGCCTGAGTGAGAGGCCACCGACCCCCTACTCCCTGCCCCCTGCATCCGCGGGTCGGAAGCGCCATCTGCCCTTGCAGTGTGAGGCCTCGGCCGCGAAGGGTATTCTGCTTTGATTTGGTTGCCACGGGAGAACCCGTCTGCCCTGGGGAGAATTCTCCCTGGTTGAGTAAGGTCCTGGGACCCAGACACGGTCTGGCCCGTGCCCGGGAGGGCCTGCTGCTCTGCTGCCCCCGCCTGCCGGTCCACATGCCCATGAAGCCAGGCCCGGGATGCCTGGCCCCCCAGGCTGGCAGTTCCTGCTCCCCGCCCTTCCAAGCTGCCGGTCCGGGGGCCCTAGTTGCTTGGCTCTGCCCAGGACATGAACCTTATCTTAACAGACTATTTTTTGCTCCAAAATCTGCTTCTCAGGGGCCTGCCTGCCTGGAGGCGCAGGGTTGTCTCAGCATATGAAGCTATCCACAGCCACTGCAGTGTTGTCTGTCCCGGCCAGAGTGTTTCCCCGCTGCCCCCTCAGCAGTGGGTTTCAGTGGATGGCCTGCTCTGCTGCCCACTGTCTCTGGGGAGTCGTCTCACCCCACACCTCTGGCCGCACCCCAGCTCTTGGTGCATAAATAAATCTTTAAAAAAGAAACTCGTGGGCCTCCCTGGTGGCCCAGCAGGTTGAGTGCCCCGCTGTGAAATTGTCCGAAGCCTCTGTAGCGCGGGTTTGATCCGGGCCAGCTGGGGAGATTCCCACATGGCATGGCAGACCTCTCCTGTCTCCCCACTGCTCCCCTCAGCAGTGTTTTCTGTCCGTCTGCCTGTTCTTCTGTCTCTGGTGCATTCTCTCACCCTCCTGCACCTCTGGCCTGTACCCCACCCAGCTCTGGTATAAAAAAAAAGAAACTTGCTTCTCTGGCCCGCACTGCCCCAGGCCCTAGGCTTCTGCTGGCGTTTACAGGGCCAGCTCCTCACTGCCGAGGGACACCTGTCCTTGTGCCCTCTCTGTGATGGACCCCTGGGTTGTCCCATCTGAGCAAGTGAGAGAACGCCTGCCCTCAGCACCCTAGGGCTGACCTGAGCACCCCTGGAGGGGCTGCCTCCAGGCTGCAGACCTGCCCAGTGCTGTCTCCGGAGCTCCCCATCCCGGGCTCAGCGGGGCCTCACTCCTCCTTGCTGTGTCCCGCCCGGCTGTGCACACACACGCCGGAGCCTGGAGGGCACCGCCTCAGGGCAGCCGCAGGGAGGGCCAGCGGGGGCGCCCCCCAGAGACAAAGGACAGATGCACAGGTCAGCGCGCACAGGCGTTTAATCGTGGGAGGCTGCCCCGAGCAGGGCTTTCCACGGGTTTGTAAAAATGAAACAGGGCGGACGCAGTTCTTTACACCGACGGGCCCAGTCCGCGCCCAGCTCCGGGCCGCGGTCCGGCTCCCGCCGGCGGGGCAGGGGCCCCGGGGAGGGGGCGCCCCGGGCGGGGCTCCCCGGCCGGCCCGCGGCTCCCCAGCGACGCAATAAATAGGAGAAACCGCAGGGCGCGCAGCAGCCGGGCGCGCAGGCTCGCCGCCCGCGGACCCTTCACAGACCGGCGGGCGGTCTCGGGGCGCGGCGGGTCCTCGCCTGGGGCGCGGGGCGCGGGGGGCGCGCGGGGGCGCGGGGGGCGCGGGGCGCGCTAGCCCTCGCGGACGCTGACGCGCGGCTCGGCCAGGGAGCTGTGGATGATGCTGAGGATGGACTCGAGGCCGCTGCCCTCCAGCAGCGTGCGGTGGTCGCCCTCGATGACGTGCACCGACACGTGGCCGTCGCACACCTGCGACAGGTTGTAGTCGGCGCCCAGGCCCTCGCCGCGCGCGCCGCCCGTCTTGGCGCGCAGCAGCGTCACGTTGCCGTGGTACGTGGCGCGCGGCGCGTAGGCGTCGGCCGCGCGCAGCTTGCGGTAGAAGGACAGCGCGGCGAAGCTCAGCTCGCGCCGGTCCAGCCCGCCGTGGCTCTGCGCGATGATGTCCACGGCGGCCGCCACGCGCTCCTCCAGGCTGCGCAGCTGCAGCAGCGCCTCCCGCACCTGGGGGCGCGGGCGGGGGGGGGGGGGTGAGCGGGGGTGCGCCCTCCCCCAGCCCCCCGCCCCGCCCCGGGCCGGCCCCCCCTGCCCCGCCCCGCCCCGGGCCGGCCCCCGCCCCGCCCCGCCCCGCCCCGCCCCGCCCCGCCCCGCCCCGCCCCGCGCCGGGCCGGCACCCACCCCGCCGGGCTCCGAGCTGTTGAACTGCTGCAGGAAGAAGCACAGCGCCTCGGTCTCCGCCTCCGCCTCGCAGCCGGGGGTCAGCTTGGCGCGGTAGCTCTGCGCGGGGTGGGGGGGTGGAGGCCTGAGCGCCCGCCCGCGCCGCGGCCACCCCGCCCGCCCCCGCGCCCCCGCGCCCGCCGCTCACCTGCGTGTAGGCCATCACGTACGTGTGCGAGCCGTCGAACAGGAAGAGGCTGTTGTGCGCGGGCGCCGGGCCCTGCTGCGCCTGCAGCTGCGAGCACATCTCGAAGGCCACGCAGGCCCCGTAGGAGTAGCCGGCGATGCGGTAGGGCCCCTCGGGCTGCACCTGCCTGATGCACTCGATGTAGTAGGCGGCCAGGCTCTGGATGCTGTCCAGGGGCGCAGCTGTGGGGGCACGGAGGTCAGCTGGGCCGGCGCGCCCACCGCGGGGGAGGGGCGCCGCGGCCCGGACGCACCTCGCGTGCACTGCAGGCCGTAGGTGGGGACGCTGAGCCGGGCGGCCAGGCTGCGGAACACCGCGGTGGAGCCCTCGATCGGGTGCACCAGGAAGAGGGGCCGCTCTGCGCTCTGCACCGAGTTCAGCCGCGTCAGGGTGGGGCCCTCGGGGTTCACCAGCAGGATGCTCAGGTTCAGCTGGGCCTGCCGCTGCGGGGAGCTGTCCTTGGACGTGGGGGCCACCACATCTGCGAGAAAAGCAATGCCAGGGCATGCCAGGGGACGTTGGGGGCCCCCTGACCGGGGCTCCGAGCACCAGGAAGGGCTCTTGGGCAGGGCGATGGAGCAGCCCTGACCAGGCAGGGTCCCCAGGACCACCCACCCCGTGCCTCTCACACACCTTCCAGCGCCCCGGCCTGCGAGGAGAGCTCCTGCAGCTTCCGCAGCGTGAGCTGCCGCACCTCCCGCATGGACAGCGCCAGGTCGTGCTCACGCTCCAATGTCTGCCGCACCTCCACGCCCATGAGCGAGTCCAGGCCCAGGTCCGCCAGCGAGGTGTCCAGGTTGACACTGGCCAAGTCGCGGATGCCTGGGGAGAAGCATCTGGTTGGCTTGGGGGGGGACAGGCCGGGCGCTGGGGGGCACCAGGGGGCAGGCCTGCGGGGTCTCGTACCCAGGATGTGGGCCACGGCCTTCACCAGGTCCCGCTTGCCCTCGCCGTCCTTGCGGGCGCTGGCCTTCTTCTCGGCCAGCACGAAGCTGCTCAGGACTGGGTGGGGCTGGTTCAGGAAGAGGTCCAGCACCTCCAGGCAGGAGGCGATGCGCTGGGGCAGCGTGCCGCCGATGACCGTGTCGTTGGTGCCCATGGTCTCCAGGACGATGCCCACATCACCGACGGCCCCCCACTGCACCGCAAGGCCTGTGTGGGAGGGTGGCGGTGAGTGGGGCAGGGCGTGGCGTGGGGGGCTGTGGTGAGCGTGGGGCAGGGCGCACCTGGGAGGCCGTCATGCCGGCGCTTCTCGCACACACGCTCCATGGCAGAGTTGGCGAAGCCGTAGTTGGTCTGGCCTGCATTGCCGCGCCCACAGCTCACGGAGGAGAAGGCCACAAAGTAGTCCAGCTGCGGGCAGGCCTCCCGGGTCACCCTGTGGATACCAAGTCAGCAGGGCTGCACCCACGGCCCTGACCGCGCTGGGCAGCAGGGGCCGGGCTGGCACCCGCGGGCGCACGCACCTGTCCAGGTTGAGGGTGCCGCTGTACTTGGGCTTGTTGACGTCCTGGAAGAACTCGGGGGTCTGGTTCTCCAGCATGGCGTCTCGCAGGACCTGCGGGAAGGTGCTCAGTGGCCGGCCGGGGTCTTCCCCGGGCAGCCAGCATCCCCTCATCGCCCACTCACCATGGCCAGGTTGAAGACGCCCCCCACGGGCCCCAGCTGTGTGGCCTCGGCGATGAGGCCCCGGGCCCCGTCCAGCGAGCTGGCGTTGCTGGTGGACACAAGCACCTGCACGCCCTGGCGCCTCCATTCGCGGATCTGCTTGGCCTGGTAGCCTGCGAGCGGGCACGGGGTGGTGGGTGTGGAGCTGCCGGAACAGGGCGGGCACCCTGCCCCCCACAGCGCCCCTGGGCCCCTCACCTGTTCGGATCCCTGAGCGGGAGGTCAACACGAGCTTCTGGGCCCCTCGCAGCACCAGCCACTGCGCCAGCTCCAGCCCGAAGCCCCCCAGTCCCCCAGTGATCACGTAGCTCTTGTGTGGGGGGCAGAAGGTCTTGGACACAGCACTCATCAGGACCGGCCTGGCGCCCTTCAGGATCTCCTGCGGCTCCTCCTCGCGTACCTGCGGCCCCAGAAGCAGATTTGCTGGACGGTGTGCGGCCCGTGGCTGGGGAGGCGGGTAGGCAGGGGAGGCGAGTAGGGGCGGGAAGAGACGAGCAGGGCGAGGGGCAGACCTTTACCTGCACCACCACTTTGCCAATGTGCTTCCCCTGGGCCATGTAGCGAAAGGCGTCCTCCACCTGGGCCTTGGGGAACACGGTGCACTTGAGGGGCTGCACCACGCCGGTCCGGATGCCCGTCCGCAGCAGGTCGGCCACCTCCCGCCAGTCGGCGCTGGCCTCCTCGAAGAGCGCGTCCAGCAGGATGCCGTGGAAGGTCACATTCTTGAGGAAGATGGCCATGCCTGGGCAGTGGGGTCACTCAGCCTCTGCCCACAGCGGGCCCTGCCCCACACTGGCCCGCCCGCCCGGCCGCCCGCCTCACCCAGCGGGTGGTTGTTGGAAAGGTCGAATTTGCCAATCTCCAGGAAGCGGCCGTGCTGGGCCAGGCAGCGCACGCTGGCCTGCAGCTTCTCCTCGGCCAGAGAGTTCAGGACCAAGTCCACGCCTGGGGGAAAGTAGGGCGGCGGTCAGCGCGCTGTGCCGGAGCCCGGCTGAGGTCAGCTGTGGGGGGGGCGGTCGTCGGCTCACCCTTCCCGCCGGTGTGCCGCAGCACGTGCTGCTCGAAGGACGTGTCCCTGGAGTTGGCAAAGCTGGTGCCATCCAGCTGGGGAAACCGCGCCTGGAGGTAGGCCCGCTTCTCAGCTGACCCTGTGGAGAGGCGCTGCTGCTAAGCCTGGGGCCGGGCGGGCTGGGCCGGGCCGGGCGGGGGCGGCTGCTTACCCACGGTGGTGAAGACGCGGCAGCCCAGGCTGAGGGCGATGGTGATGGCGGCCTGGCCCACGCCGCCCGAGCCGGAGTGGATGAGCACGGTCTCCCCGGGCCGGGCGCGCCCGCGCACCACCAGCGAGTAGTAGGCGGTGGTGTAGACCACGGGCACCGAGGCGGCCTCCTCCAGCGTCCTGCGGGCACAGCGCGCGGTCACGTGGGCCTGACCCGTGGCCACGCCCATCAGGTCCCAGGGTCACCATCAGATCCACGTACCAGCCGGAGGGAACGTCCCACAGGAAGTCCTGGGGCAGCAGGACAGAGGTGGCCAGGCCTTCGGCGGGCACCAGGCCCATCACGCGCTTGCCGCTGGGGTCCCGGCCTGAGAACTCCATGCCCAGCATGCAGTCCCGGGCTGCCCACTTCCCTGCGGGCAGAGGGGGTGAACTGGGTGGTCCAGGGCAGGGTGGAGGCCCTGCCTGCCCTGCCCCCACCTCCGGGCCGGTACCTGGGATGGCGTCTGGGGGCAGCTTGCCCGTGGCCAGCATGATGTCCCGGAAGTTGAGAGAGGCGTAGTAGACGCTGCACAGCTGGGCGCCGGGGCTGGTGGGTGGGGTGTGGCGTAGCGGGGAGCAGACCCAGCAGATGGAGGAGAGATCCCCCCGGGTGAGCACATTGACAAAGGCGTGTTCCGTCTGCTCCTCTGGGGGCGCTGGGGGTACAGGAGTCCAGGCTGCCGAGGGCCACGGGCCAGGCTGGAGGGCCGCCCGCCTGCCGTGTTCTCCCACCCTCATTGTCCACCTGCTGCGAGGTGGGGCGGAGGCTCACCCTGCTCCAGCGGGAAGTGGCGGAAGGCACCCCAGGTCCCGTCCCGGTAGACGTTCATCACCAGGTCCCCCAACAGCACCTTCTGCAGCTCTGAGGAACCTGGGTCCATCTTGGGGACGGGCAACGTGCTGCCGAGATTGGACACCAGCACGCACCTGTGGGCACCGGACAGGTGAGTGGGGCGGGCAGGGGGGTGTGGCGGGGGCGGGGTGGGAGTGGGGGTGTGGCCAGGAGGGATGCCCACCGGATGCGGTGGCCGCCAGGTTCTTTGCGGAGACAGTTCACCAGGCCTACGACGCCCGAGGTGGTGCAGCCCACGGCGATCAGCCATAGGGGCCGGGAAGAGGAGGCCGCCAGGATGCTCTGTGGGACAGGCAGGGTTGGAGCTGAGGCAGGCCCAAGCCTGGGAGCGCGGGCGTGGGCTGGGTAGGGCACTGACCTTCAGGGTGTCCACCCATCGGAAGCTGGTGTCTTCCACGGGCAGGAAGACCGGGCTGTCCTGTGGGGCCAGCCGGCGGCACAGGAAGAGCGCAGAGCCGTAGAAGGAGCTCTTCAGGGCCACCAGGTGCAGGCCCGCCTGGGCACACAGGCTCTCCCACTCCTCCTGCAGGGGGGCTGGTCAGCGCACACGCCCGTTGCCCCCCCCGCCCCCCGCCAGCTCTGGAGCCCACCTGCCCTGCGCCCCCACCTGGCTCAGAAGCCCCTGCCGCGGCTCGGGGTGGGTGAGGAAGGCCACGGTCTCCCCGAGCGTGTGGCCCTTGAGCAGGGTGTGCAGCAGCAGGAAGCCGCCTTCCTTGAGGGCAGCGGCCATGTGGCCCAGGGCGGTGGCCGGGTCACCCAGGGCGGCCACAGCGCAGTTGCACACCAGGAGATCGGCCGCGCCCAGGCGGCTGGGGGCGGGCCCCGCAGGGTCCCACTGGTCCTGCGCTGCGTCGTGCTGCTGCAGTTCAGCCTGGGCGGCCTCCAGGGCTTGGGGGTGGGGGTCGGTGGCCGTGTAGTCCAGCTGCAGCAGGGGCTGGGTGCCGAGCAGCGCCGGGATACGTGTGTACAGGCGGCCATCTGCAGCCAGCGCCTGGGGACACAGCTCTCGTTGGGGGCGGCCGGAGGTTGGCATCCCAGCCCAGGAGGATGTGGAGATGCCTGCCCCTGCCCCCACCCGCACGGCCTGAGGCCCCGCCCCTGCCCTGCTCGTGCCCACCTCCACCACTTTCATCCGCGCGCTGGCCATGTTCTCTAAGGCCGTGTCCACGCACGCCTTGAGCATGGGCGAGTCCAGCAGGCCGCAGAGCAGGGGGTCGTCCCGCAGCAGAGGCCCCTCCCGGGCCAGAGCCTGGCCCAGCTCCAGCTGCAGGTTGCCATTGAGCTGAAGGCGGCAGGCGACCGCCAGGAGCCGGGGCAGCCCGTGCTGCGGGGGCTCCCTGGGCGCCTGGGCCCCGCCCAGCCCGGGGATCACCACTTTCAGGCCCTGCTGTGCCATCTTGGTCTGCAGCACCTGCGCCAGCCCTGCGGGGGGGAGACAGGCGCTGGGAGGGGCCCTAGCTGGGCCCCAGGGCTCTGCCTGGACCGAGGCCACAGTCCGGCTGGCCACTGGTGAACAGAGTGGCAGCGATGGCAGCGTCCCCTGGAGAAGGGGTGTGCCCTGGAGACCAGGGACCCAGTACCCTGGGCTGGACGGCCCCCAAGCCCTGCCCCACGCAGGGGGATGGACAGCGGGGGAGCTGGCGCAGCCTCACCCTTGCACAGCTGCAGCTCCTCCTGCAGCGCCGCGTCCCCGGCCAGACAGCCGGTCTCCATGTGGGGCGTGAAGGCGAACTTCTCCAGGATGGGGGCCTGCTGCTCCTGCTGCCGCCGCGGGACCACCGTGGCATGCAGCCGTGAGATGAAGACTCCTCCGGCCACCATGCAGTCCAGATAGGAGCTTGCCCGCACGTTGGCCACTGTGGGAGAGGGGGAGCATGAGGGCGGGGCTGGGGAATGAGGGGCGGGGGTCGTGGGGGCGGGGGGGCGGGCGCCGGCCCACCTTGGGTCTCGCCCCGCAGTGTGTACACCCTCTGCCGGTGGGCAGCGGGGTCAATGTGGATGGCACCGATGCGCGTGGGCAGCTGCAGTTTACACTGGCTGGTCCTCAGGATGGTCATCTGCAGCATGGTGTCCAGGAAAGTCACCCAGTTGTCCTTCCAAAGCAGCTGGCCGGAGTTGCCTGCGCGGAGGGGCCGTGAGCGGGGTCCCGCGGCCTCCAGCCCCGACCCCAGGCCGCTGCCCACCTTCCAGGTCGGCCTCCAGGATGCCCTGGAACCAGGGCCCGTAGTCGTAGCCGCGCAGGCGCAGGTCCTTGTACACATCCCCCTGCGTCAGGTGGGGTGCGGCCGCAGGCTCGGTGGGCTCGACGGGGTCCTGGGCGGCCAGGCTGTCGAAGAGCTTGGGGTCGGGGTCCTCCCACAGCCACATTTTTCCTGGGGGAGGAGAAGGCCTTAGGATGGGGACGGGGCCACCCGGGGCCCACCGGGCAACCCCGCGGCCGGCACTCACCGCTCACGATCAGGTTGCCGTTCTCGCACACCTCGAAGGCCCGGGAGGCCTCCAGCAGCCGCACCTCCAGGGGCACGGTCCCTGCAGTAGGGGCCGGTCAGCAGGGGTCGGGGTGCCCCTGCCGCCCCACCCCAGCCCGCCCTGCCGGCTGCCACCTCACCCGTCTTGGGCAGGATGGTGGCCTGGTGCAGCGTGACGTCCTCGAACACCACGGGCACCTGGCCCATGTCCTGGCCCAGGGTGCGGGCCAGCATCCTCCAGGCCAGGCACAGGTAGCCGGTGGCGGGGAAGATGACGCGGCCGTCGATGCGGTGGTCCACCAGGTAGTGGTCAGGGGACTCGGCGCTGGCGTCTGCGAGGGCGCGGGCTCAGTGAGGGTCGGCAGCCCCCCCGGCCCCTGGTCTCCCCCGAGGCCCAGCCCCGCGCCCCGCTCACCGATGTTGTAGATGGTGGCGGAGGAGGAGGTGGAGCCGCTGGGGAAGTGCTCCGCGGCCGGCACGTCCCAGCTCTGGCTGTGGTCCCACTGGATGTGGGGGGAGATGAGGGGAGTCCCCCGGGGAGCCGGGAACTCCACAGGCGGGAGCAGGCCGTTGGGGTTGACGTCGATGCTGGGGGGTGGGGGAGGTGTGAGGGGCATGCCTGGCCCGGCCTCCCTTGCCAGTGTCCGGGAGACTGCCCGGAAGGAGCAGGTGGCAGTGGCCAGGGCCTGCTGCCCCCAGCCCTGCAGCGGCGTGCGGCCTGCACACCCCCAGCCAGCTGCAGCCCCCCCACGCCTGGGTGTACCTCCTCCGGCCAGGTGCAGCCCCCACCCCTGCGTGCACCCCCCTCAGCCAGGTGCACCCCCTGACCACGTGCAGCCCCCCGCCAGGTGCAGCTCCACGCCCCCTGCACCCACCCGGCCAGGTGCAGCTTGCCCACGTTGCTGAGGAAGAATTCCAGGTTGTCGGGGTGGTCCTTCTTCATGAGGGGGATGATGGTACAGCTGGACTTGAGACCCCGCTTCAACACAGCCTGGGAGGACACGGCTGGGGCTCGCAGGCAGGCTCTGTGGGGACGCCCCCGCCCGGCCCGGCCCAGCCCGGCCCTCACCTGCAGCAGGGCGTGGGGGGCGATCTCCAGCACCACGGCCTGCTCGGGCACGTGCCGCAGCGCCTCCTGGAACAGCACCGGGCTCACCAGGTTGTTGACGTTGTACTCGGCCGAGAACGTGCGGGCCAGGCTGCCCTGCCACTGGACCTCGGGGATGGAGGTGCTCAGCCAGCGCGCGGAGCGCGGCCGCGGCTCACGGATCACCTGCAGGGCGACAGCAGGCTCGGGACCTGCCCAGGCCTCGACACGGCCCCCGCCCCCGGCCCGCCCCCGAGGCCCCCACCTTCTTGAGCTCCTGCAGCAGCGTGGGCGCGATGGACTCCATGACGTACGAGTGGAAGGCCTTGCCGCCCGTCCGCACCTCCTTGGCAAACACGCCCTCCTGCTTGAGCTGCTCCACGAACTCGACCACGGCGGCCTGCGGACAGCAGGGCTGAAGCGACCGCGCGCCCGCCACTCCCCACGAGGGCGCCCCGGGGTGGGGCCGCGGGGACAGTGCCTGTGCCCACCTGAGGTCCCGAGATGGTCACCGTGTCCTCGGAGTTGTGGCAGGCGGGTACAACGCCTGGGGGGCAGCGCCGCTTGCACTCCTCCCAGGACAAGCCTGCGGAGAGCCGGCCCAGAGGGTGCGATGCCACAGCCGCTGCGCCTCCCCGCCCGCCCTCGATCCCAGCCAGGCCCGCCCGGCCTCCCTGCAGCCCCAGGCAGAGGGAGGGCCTGGAGGATGCGCCCAGGGTGACCCTCAAGCCCCAGGTGGGCGGGAGGGGTGCAGGGGCTGCCTACCCACGGCGGCCATGGCCCCTGGTGGGATGTGGGAGTCTTTGATGCACTGGCCCCTCCAGTAGGCGGCCAGCATGGCCTCCTCCTGAGAGAGGCAGCCGTCAGCATAGCCGCAGGCCACCTCCCCCAGCGAGTGGCCAATGATGCCGTCTGGCTTCAGTCCCATGGCAGTCAGCAAGTCTATGAGGGCGATCTGCGGGGACAGGGCACATCAGTGCAGGCCCAGCCTGGCTGGCCAGCACCCCCGTGGCGGCCCGGCCAGCACAGCCCGCACCTGGATGGCGGTGAGGCCCATGAAGGCGTGCACGATGTCGTCGAAGATGGCCTCGTCCGTGCTCAGCAGCAGGGCCGATACCTCCAGCCCCAGGGGCCGCACAGCCTGGTCGGCGCGCAAGATGGAGTCCCGGAAGCTGCCCAGGCGCATCAGGCGTTGCCCCATCTTGCTCCACTGTGCGCCCATCCCTGTCCAGAGAGCGGTCAGTCAGCGCCCACCCGGCCCCTGGCCTGCCCAGCCCCCAGCCCGCCTTGGCCCCTGGCCTGCCCGGGGCTCACCAGAGCAGATGAACCAGAGCGGGCGCCGGCCAGCAGGCACCGGCTGCACCTCCAGGCTGCTGGTCTCGCCGCCCAGCACGGTGTAGCCCCGGAAGGGCATGGCGGTGGGCGGGCAGGCGGCAATGCTGTTGAGCATGCTTAGGAAGGCCAGGTCCTGTGGGTGGGCGCGGCCCTGCTCCAGCAGGACCTGCACAGCGGCGGGTGTGCGCCCACTGGCCACTAGCAGCCGGGGTAGGGCCGCGTGCGGGCTGGGCGCGGGGGGCGGCTGCAGGTTGGGCCTCAGGATGACGTGCACGTTGGAGCCGCCAAAGCCGAAGGAGTTGATGCCCACGTTGCCCCCGCGGACGGGCAGGGGCCGCTCCACCACCTGCAGCCGGCCGTCCCGCAGCGCCGGGATCTCAGGGTTGGGGGTATGGAAGTGCAGATTGGGGGCCCAGAGCCCGTTCTCCAGGCTCAGCAGCACCTGCGGCGGGCACCTGTCAGTCAGGCCGGAGCAGGCCTGGGGAGCACACCCCGGGCTGCCCCACCTCAGGCCACGCGACGAGAGGGCAGCAGGCTGTGGCAAGCCTAGAGGGGATGTCCGGCCCAGCTGCCTGGGGTGAAGGCAGGAAGCCCCTTCCTGGAGGGCCGGCAACCCCTACCTGGCAGCAGGAAGCGGAGGCAGTGGCCCCCTACCTTGGCCAGTGCCGCGAGCCCCGAGGCGGGCTCAGGGTGCCCCATGTTAGACTTGGTGGACCCGATCAGCAGGGGATCCTGGCGGGTGGCGCACAGAGCCTCGGCGATGCTGTTTAGCTCCTGGGGGTCGCCCACCTGTGGGGGTGGGGGTTAATAATGGCGCCGGGCCTCCCAGGGGCAGCCGCGGGCTGGGGCCTGCCTCACCTTGGTGCCCGTGCCATGGGCTTCGATGTACTCCAAGGACTCTGGGGACAGCCCGGCCGGCTGGTACAGGGAGCGGATGAGCTGCTGCTGCGCCTCCCCAGAGGGGAAGGTCACGCCTGCGGAGGGTCTGGCCTGAGCACTGTGGCCCCCGCCGCCTACCCCACCCGCCCTGCCCCGGCTGACCCCCTACCTTGCTCTTTGCAACCGTCTGTGTTGGTGCCGGCGTTCAGGATGGTGGCGTAGACCCGCCGTGCCAAGGACTTCTTGGTCAGCAGGACGGCCACCACGGCCTCGGCACGGCAGTAACCGTCCCCTAAGGGCAGAGCAGCAGCCTCAGCCCGGCTGCCCATGGCCCTGGGCCCGGGGGGGGGGGGGGAGGAGCGCCCGCTCACCCGAGGCGTCGAAGGACTTGCAGGTGCCCCCAGGGCTGAGCATGCCCAGCTTCATGAACTGCACCGAGGTGTTGGGCTTCAGCAGGACGTTAATGCCACCCACGATGGCCGCCGGGCACTCGCCGCTGCGGATGGCGTGGTAGGCGTTCTGCAGGGCCTGCAGGCTGGACGAGCAGGCCGTGTCCAGGGCGATGCTGGGGCCTGTGGGCAGGCGGGCTCAGTGGGCCATGGCGGCCGCGCGGGTGGATACAGGGCCCTCGCCGCCAGCCCCCCACCGGGCAGGGGAGCGCCCACCTTTGAAGTCGAAGAAGAAGGAGAGGCGGTTGGCCATCATGGCCCGCTGGCAGCCCACCATGCTATAGCCCAGCAGCAGCTCGGGGTCCCGGCTCAGCGCCTCCGAGGCCTCGGAGCCGCTCACGCCCACCCATACGCCGGTGTGCGTCCCTCGCAGCTCGGCGGGGTTGATGCCTGCGGACGGCAGAGGTCAGCGTGGTGGCCGCAGGGCCCCAGGAGCACCCCGGCCACCGCCGCCGGGACAGAGAACTGGGTCACGAGGACCGGGGGCAGGAGGGCAGGCGGGGCGCCGGCGATGGCCAGAGAGCAGGACAGAGGGCGGCATTGTCCCGGCTGCTCCGCTGGGCCCTGGAGTCACTGGCAGGCGGTAGCGAGCCCGAGGGCTGCCGGCCAGGGGACAGGCCAGATAAGGAGACAACGGCAGAGAGTCGGGAGAGGGAGGCGGAGGAGGGAGCGCTGTCCAAGGCCCTGGGTGCGGCTGGGCAGTGGGAGGGCCTTGCCCACCCGCCCTCTGCCAGCCCGCCCGCCAGAGGCCCAGGGCCTGCCTCTCCAGGGGCTCGGGGTCTGCCCTGGGGCTGGCCAACCAGAGGCCGCAGGGCCAGGCGGGGAGGGGCCGGCCCCACCTGCGAGCACCCTGCCCCCACGGCAGGCCCTGGGGGTGCGGCGGGACAGGCCACCAGCACTCGGGGAGCGAGAAACAGTCTGAGAAACACGGGCAGGAAAGCGGCCGGATGAGGGTGCCTGTGGGTGCCGCGAGGCCCCGGGGCGGGGAGCGGGGCCCACCTCCGTCCACGATGGCCTCGTAGGCCACCTCCAGGAGCAGGCGCAGCTGGGGGTCCATCGTGTGGGCCTGCTTGGGGTGCACCCCGAAGAAGGCGGCGTCAAACTTGGACAGGTCCTTCAGCTTGCCGGACCGCCGGGGCAGGCCGTAGAGCCCTGCGGACGGGGCGCCGTGGTGAGGGGGCCCGGGCCGGCGGAGACCCCGCTCCCGGGCTGGCTGCGGAGGCCGGGCCCGCGCTGACTCACACCCGTAGATCAGGTAGAGCCGCTCCGGGAGCCCCTGGGCGTGAGGGCGTCAAGCAGGCTTCCCGGAGCCCAGCGCTATCTGCTGGCGGGTCGCCCCGGCCTCGCCCTGCCCCAGTGGGCCCGGCCGCAGCGTCCCGCCCCCCCCCCCAGCCCAGGCGGCGCCCGGGCCCTCACCGGCCTTCCAGCGCCTGTCGTCGTCCGTCACCATGTCCACGCCGCCCACGAGGTTGGCCCAGAACTCCTGCATGTTGTCCGACTCGGGCAGCTTCCCCGAGAGGCCGGCGATGACCACCTCCTCCATGCTGCTGTCTGCGGGCGCAGCCACACTCAGCCCCGCCCGGGGCGCCCGCCCCCGCCGCCCCGGGAGCCCGCGGGCCGCCTCGGAAAGCCCCGCAGTGAGACCTCGGGGGATGGGGGGCCCCTCCCGGCGCCGGCGCCCCCGCGGCTCACTGGGGCGACCGGAACCTCCGGGCGGGCCCCGCGGCCCGCCGGGCCCTGCAGCCCCAGCCCCTGCTCGGGGAGGGGAGCTCGGCGGCCGCGGGCGGGGCTGATCGGGGGCCAGGTCTCCCCCGGCCGGCCCCGGCCGCAGCCTGGCGGGGGACTCGGGAGGCCGGCGGCAGGGGAGGCGCGGGCCGGGCCGGCCACACGCGCGCGCGGCCGCGGGACGCTCGGGACACGGGGCGCCGGGCGCGCGGGGCCTCGCGGCGCGGACCAGCCCAGGCCCGGGGCGCGCGGCCGCGCGCGGGGAGGGGGCCGGGGGCCGCGCCGGGCCCGCCGCGGGCCTCGTGCTCCCGCCGCGGGCCCCCCGCCCCCCGCGCCCCGCGGAGCCGGGCGGCCCCCGCCCCCGTGACGGCCCCCGCGGCCGCCGCCTCCCGCGCCCCCCCGCCTGCCGGGCGGCCGGGCCGGGGGCTCCCCCGCCGCGCTCAAGATGGCTGTTCGCGGCCGCCGCCTCCCGGGCGCGCCCCGGCCCGGCCCGGCCCGGCCCGGCCCGGCCCGGCCCCGGCGCGCGGGCCCCCGCGCCGGCCGAGCCCCGCCAGCCCCGCGCGCCGGCCCGGCCGCCCGGCCGCCCGGCCGCCCCGCCGGCCGCTCACCTGGCCGCGCGGGCTGCGCGAGTGGCGGCGTCGCTCTGGCTCCCCCTGGGCCGCGCGGCGCTATTTAACCGGGCCGGCCCCGCGCGGACACGCCACATGGGCTGACAGCCGGCCGCGCCGCCCGGCCAATGAGCGGCGGGGTGCGCCCCGGCCCGCGCGCGCCTGGGGTGCCGAGCGCGCCGGCCGAGCGGGGGCGCGCCGCGGGCGGGGGCGGCGGGGCGGGGGCGGGCGGGCCGGGCCGGGCCGGGCGGGGGCCCCCGCGCCCCCGCGCCCCCCGCGCCCCCCGCGCCCCCGGCCCCCGCCCGCGCCCGGCGCCCCGCCCCGGCCCGGGCCACGTGCGCGGGGGGAGGGGGCCGGGGCGGGCCGGGGCGGCCAATGGCGGGCGGGGGGCGCGGGCGGCGCGGGGGCGCGCGAGGGGGCGGCGCCGGGATAGGGTGATGGGCCGGCGGGGGGCGGCCCCGGGCGCCGCGCGGGCCGCGCGCGGTCGTTGACCCGGCGAGCGGGCCCGGGCCGGGTTACTCCCGGTCACCGCGCCGCGGGCCCGGCCGGCGGGGGCGGGGGGCGCCGCGGGGGCGCGGCCGCGGGGGGCCCCGCGTGGGCGCCCGCGAACAAAGGAGCCGCGCCGGCCCGGCCGAGGCGCGCACGTGGCCGCGCCCCCAGCGCGCACGCGCGGCGGAGCCGAGCCCGGTCCCGGTCCCGGTCCCGGCCGGCGCGCCCGGCCCGCCCTCCCCGGCCCGGGCCCGCGCACACCCCGCGCCCCACCCCCCGGCGCCCCCGCGCCCCCCGCGCCCCCGCGTCCCCCGCGCCCCACCCCCGGCGCCCCCGCGGCCCCCCGCGCCCCCGCGGCCCCCGCGCCCCCCCGCGCCCCCGCGGCCCCCGGCGCCCCCCGCGCCCCAGCCGGCCGGCCGAGCCCCGCGAGGAGCCCGGGCCCGGGGATCGCAGCCGCCCTGCTCTGGGGGGCGGCGCCGACCCGACCCACGGGGGAGCCTCGCGCGGGGCCTCCGGACCCCCGACGCGTCCCGCCTCCCCTCGTCCCCGGCCGCCGGGCTCCGCGCACCCCAGACCGCGCCCGCCCCGCGGCGGGGCTCTGCCCGGGCACCCGCCCGGCGGCCACGGCCCTCTGCGGCCGGTGGGCAGGAGCGGGGCGCCCGCAGCCCCGCGGACAGCCGCGCGGACAGCCGGGCCGGGGCGGCCGGGGGCCTCCTGGGCTGCGCAGCTCCCAGAGCCGGGTGCCGGGAGCAGCAGGGAACCCGCCCGCGGGCGCTGGCGGGGCAGCCTGTCTGCAGGGCAGCCGCGGGCCCCCAGCACCCAGGCCGGGTCCAGAGCCGCGCGGCCCAGCCCACTGCCCAGGGACGGTCCCGCCGGGGAGGACGCCCGGGGCCTGAAGCCCGGCCGGCCGCAGCAGGGCCCGTGAGGCTGCGGTGCCGGCGCAGGTTGGGAGCGAGCGTTCACCCAACGTGGGTCAGGCGTCACCCCCGGGTGCCCGTCCAGGTGCCGGGGACCCCAAGGCTGTCCACGTGGCAGGGGGTGTTTTGACTGTGAGGCCCGTGGGAGGCGGCTCTGGTCTGGGGGCATCAACAGGCCACCCCTGCTGCTCCCGCCCGCCCCCCAGCTCCACCCTCACAGCTGTGACCCCGCGGCCGGCCCGCCGAGCGAGACAGCAGCCTGCAGGACGCCAGCTTTAATGGTCAGCGAGGAGGAGGCACTGGCTGCCCAGGAGCGGGGGCAGGGAGCGGGTTGGGCCGGCCAGGTCAGTCCTTCAAGTTGTAGTTCCGGATCCTGGGGGGCCGCTGGCAGTGCTGAGTTCTTGCTGGACGTGCCCCGGAGGTTCTGGCGGGCCTGGCCCGGGCCTGGGCCTCCACCTTCGTCCCTCTGATGGTGAAGGCCCCTCCAGGGCAGGCGGCGCTCCCAGCGGGGGGCTGTGGGGGGTCGGCCGCCGGAGGCACCTCGCACTCTGCCAAGTAAGAGATGAGAACAGGGTCTGTCTGGGCGAGAGGCTGCCCGGCTGCCCGGGGTGGCTTCCTGCCAGCGGGACCCGGACACGCATGCCTGCTCGCCTCTGGGAGCCCTGCCGGCCCGAGGGTCCCCCGAGTGTGGCCTCGGGATGGCCGTGGCTGTGCCGGGCGCTGGCTGGGTGTGGGCACAGGAAGTTGTGTGGGCACGTCTCCCAAGAGGCCCGCTGGCCTGGCCTCCCTGCGCTGGGCACTCAGGGCAGCTGGCCCGGAAGGCACTAGCTGCCCTCGTGGACATTTCATCATGGCTCCCGGAGGGCATTGGGGTGAATGGTCAGCGCTCGCCAGGCACCTCCTCTGGCCCAGCAGCCCCGACGCGCGTGGCCAGGCCCAGGCTGGAGCGGGAGCCGCCCAGGTCTCTGCGCGAGGGCTCAGCCGGCGGTTTCTTTATCCTTCGGACTTTACTGTTTCGCACACTTTTAAAACTAAGACCAGGGGCTCCCTGTGGGCCCGGGTCAGTCTCAGGCTGTCGCTGCCGCCGCCTGAGTCGGGTCCTGGCCGGGGAGTGACCCCCGTAGCGCAGCAGACCTCTCTTGTCTCCCGCTGCTCCCCTCAGCCGTGGGTTTGGGTGGATCCGCCTGCTCTGCTCCCCACTCTGTCTCTGGGGGGTCCTCTCACCGCCCTGCGCCTCTGCCCTGCACCCCAGCTATATGCAAAGATAATTAAATCTTAAGAAAAAAAAGTAAAACTAAAAATGTATTTTTTTTTTTTGTTAAAAAAAAAAAAGAACTTACTGCCAAGCTACTACAAGACGCAGACTCGGGAGCTGCAGCGGACGGTGCTGCTGGCAGGCCAGGCCTCGTGGACACGGGCAGCCCGGCTCCACGGCTCCACTGGGGCCCCGGCCTGGCCAGCGGGCAGGGCTGGCCAGGAGCCTGGCCTGTGCTCGAAGGGCACACAGGTGAGGTGCGGGGCCAGCCCCATCCTCCTTGGCGGCGTCCCCAAGGCTGCAACTAGAGGCCAAACACCCCCCTCTACTCCAGTGTCCTCGGGGCCTCTGGCCTCCCGTGGTCACCCTGATGCTCACCTCTGAGCGCAGGGTCCCTGGGCCCAGCCGCTCTCTCAGGGCAGCAATTGCCGTCCACTCCAGCCCGACCCCACGGCCTCGCACCGCATCTCTGCCCAGGTGGGCCGCCCGCCCCGCCGCCTCCTGGCCGGGCCTCTGCGCAATGGGCCATTTCCTTCCAGAAGCTTCCTCAGGCAGGGCCCTAGGGCGGAGGCGGCCCTGCTGGGTGCGTGACCTCAAAGGGCCCTCCCAGCCGCGCTGCCTGGGGCTGGCCGCACAGCCGTGGCCAGGAGCAGCTGCCCGCTCTCGGCCTCCTCTCACCAGACCTGTTGGGCCCGGCCTCCCTGGCCCTGCGCTCCCGGAAAGGGGCCCCGGCCAGGGCAGGTATGGCTCAGGGCCCAGGCCGGGCCAGGCTGGGGGGGCTCCCATCGGCTTCCTCTGGCACCACCCCGACCCCGGCAGCGACCCCGCGTGCCCTAGATCCCGCCTCGGAGCCCTCCTGATCGGTGGCCATCCCAGGGCACCCCCCAGCTGCCCCGGCAGCCAGCCCGAGGGCCCCTGCAGGGAGCCCTGCTGCCCCTTGTGTCCAGGGAGTGGACGGTCGAGCTAGACTCCACTTGGCTGGGGGCGGACAGGCAGTAAAGCCCAGGCCTGGCTTACTGTCCATTTGGTCCTGGGGCACAGAGGTGGCCCCACCCACCCCAGGCAGCTAGCCCCCCCACCCCACCTGCTCTTCCGACGGCACTTTTGGGGCCTCCGCTGACTCCGAGCTCACCCAAGTGCCCCCCGGGCTGCCCAGTGCAGTCCCTGCCGGCAAGGGAGTGACCGGGGGCTCTGGGGGGAGACCGAGCAGAGGCCACGCAGGTGGATGCACAGGCCTGGCCCCACAGGGCTCAGCTCTGCAGGCGCGGCTGGAGAAGCCGAGGGAGGGTGTTGGGCAGCAGGCATGTGGACGCCGGGGTGGCTGGGGAGGACGAGGAGACAGTGCCGGACGGAGGCTGGAGGGCAACAGCTGGGCACAGGAGTGGTTGAGGGGGGCCAGGCCCTGCCCCCACTTTGCATTGAGGGTAGAGGCCCAGAAGGGCAGGCAGGTTGGAAGGCAGAGTTGGTGCGGGTGGAGCTGACCTGTCCCGTCCACGGGGATCTAGGCCTACAGCCCGGACAACACCCAGCCCTGCGGGGACCCAAACATCTTGGGGTTCCTGGGGGCGGGGCTGCCCAGGGTGCCGGCCAGAGGGTTGGGAGCACCAAAGGGCAAGTGGGAGCCATGCTCCCCTTTCCATGGAGCCGGCCGGGGGGCAGCCACCACCGCGCTCAGGCCACAGGCCACTCTAGGACCAGGGCAGGCCCTGCCCTCGCTGCCTCCGCACGGCTCTGGCCTCCCCACCCCGGGGGCCCTGCGCTCACGGAGGAGCTCAGTAGCTGCGGGGAGGCAGCAGGAGACCCAGGATCGGGGACCAGAGGCCCCAGGCGCCCCCACCCCAATGGGGCCCAGGCCCAGGCTCCAGAATGAGCCACCGTGCAAGTCTGGTGAGTCCCAGGGCAGTGTGGGAAGGGGCTGGTCAGCGGGGGCCGGGTGGGGCGGATGCCCACAGCCCACTGGAAGGCCCAGTGAGGACCAAGGCGCGTCCAGGGCCCTGCCGGATTCCCAGCTCCCAAAAACAGGCCGTGACCCACCTTCCAGCAGAGCGCAGGCTGCTGGCTCACTCTGGGGGTGGCAAGCACGTGCCCCAGTGGACACAGGGACGTGACGGCCGCCCGCCTGCGGGCAGGAGCGAGGCACGCGTGCCCAGCTCCAGTGACGTGACCTGGCAGGAGTCCGGCGCGCAGAGGCGGCTCCAGCGCCGACCGGCACTCTGGCTGAAGCGGGGGCCCCTTTCTCTGGTGTGGTAAAGGCTGCATGTCGAGACCACACACGGTGCGTGGTGACCGATGGCCTGGCGGGCCGGCCCTGCCACCCTGGGACGCAGCCACCGGGCGAGGACCCCACGGCCCAGCCCCCGGCCTTCTGTGCTGGGGGTGCGAGCCGGCACGGCCCACGTGCCCTCCGGGGGCCGCAGCCCTCCTGGCGCGAGACAGCAGCGGGTGTCCAAGCTCTTCCGGCCGGCCGGCAAGGCCCAGGGTGCGGCGGCAGGCGGCTGCGGCACTCCAGACGGCCGCGTGCACGGTAATGAGCCCCAGGAGGCCCGAGGGCGCAGGGGAGAATGATTAGGAGGCCCGAGGGCTCAGGAGGCCCCAAGCATCCGCCGCGCAGGCCCGGGCCATGGCCGTGGGTCTCCCTCCTGCAGCCTGGGGACTGCGGGGCGGGGCGGGGCGGGGCCGGCCTCCCCCAGTGCTGTCCCCGGACCCTCACGGCTCTGATTTTTGAAACCCTGGGGTGTTTTTCTAGGGACTCTGGTTTCCCGTGCAGCTCCTCTGTGGTCAGGAAACAGCCACGTCGTTTGCTGTGGCCTGTCCTGCGGCCCAAGCCGTCCATCCTGTGGGACACGCTGGGCACCGGCAAGGCTGTGGCCCAGCGGCTGCCAGCATCCCTCCGGGGCTTGCCAACCCTCCTGCTGACCCGCTGGGCCTCCCCACAGGAGGGATCCTGAAGACACCCAGGCCTGGCCATATCCTCGTGTCTGGCCTCTAAGGGATGGTCTGACCCATCCTGTTGGTGTTGCTGCTGCCCAGGCTGGCCTTGCTGGGCCTCCGGCCGCCTGTCCGTGCCCACCAGCCCTGCGCCCGCCCCCCTGCCCCGCGGTGTCCAGCCGGCGCTCCGAGTCCATGTCCCCGCACTGTTGGCCAGGCTTGGCCTTGGAGAGCGGGGCCGTGGTTAGCCGCAGGCGCGCCTAGCTCCGCCAGCCTTCCGGAACAGCGCCCGTGGCCCGCAGCAGGCCCCAGAGCAGCCCCGCCCCACCCTCAGGCCGTTCTCCTGCCGCCAGCTGGACACCTGGCCTGTGGCCGCTGACCGGCAGGGCTGCTGGGGTGCTTCATTCTGGCAGGTGCGGCCTGGCGGACGGCCTTGTCCAGCTCTACTTCTGGACAGTCTCCTTATAGCTGACGAACCCCACGCAGCCCCTTCTGGGGTCCCCACACGAGGGGGCACGGGTGTCCAGCCACAAGGGCTGCCCCGCTGGTGGCCTGTGCCCTCCCCTGGGCAGCAGGGAGCTGGCCCCGCGGCCCTTCTGCTCGGGGAAGGGAATGTGAGTCTGAGTTGAGTCTTCATCAAATTTAGGGAAAAAGGACCATTAGCTCTTGACCTGCCCCCCACCACCCTCCGCCGGCCATGTCTCCGCCCGCGCCTCCGCCTCGGCGCTGCTCTTGGCAGCGAGCTCCCCCTCCCTCCGCGGGCGCCCCTCCCCGCCCCCCCATGTCTTCCTTAGACACAGGCCGCTGCGACCCCTGGTGTCTCGCTGGCCCCTCGTCTCCGCCCCTCTGGCCTGGTCCTCTCGGCTGGGGTGCCGGGGGTCAGCCGGCTTCCGCAGGGCCTGGCGCCTGCCCCGGAGACCCTCGTGAGGCCTCAGCGTGCAGAAGGGCTTGGCCTGGAGACAGCGCCGCTGGGACGGGGACTTCTCCAGGGTGACCCTGGGCCCCGGGCCTGTGGGACGCCCGGCCGGCGGTGGCCTCCTGGCCTTTCCTCCAGGACCGGTCTTGCCCCCGTGACTGCCCACTGCGCCTGCAGGGAGGCGGCACCGGGTCCTCCAACAGCAGCCGGAGCAGAGGCGCAGCCAGCCCGGGACCCCGGGCACGCGAGGGCGGGCGCAGCGCGGCCACGCAGACGGACGGGGTCGTCTGGACACAGCCTCGCCCTGAGCGTCACAACCGCCTCCAGGAGGACAGGGCGACCCAACCCGCCTCGCGGACGCCAGACAGGGCTGTGCTCCGGCCGGCAGCCACCGCAAGACACGGCTGTTGTCCGACGCAGCGGGTCTCGAGGGCCCCCCAGGCCGCCCCCGGAGTCTCCCCGCATCCCCTCCCCTTGCTGCCGCGAGCGCCCAGGGCTTCTGTGGAGCAGGGGCAGCGGTGGCTGCGGGAGGGCCGGAGGGGGCAGTGACCGGGAGCTCGGACGGGACGAGCCCCTCCAGGGGACAGTTGCCACCTCCCCCCCCCCACGTCTTTGCTGCCAAGGCCCGAGAGCTGGAGTGGGGCTGTGGGGGTGCTGGGGGGCCGGGAGGAAGGGGACGCGGGGGCAGGGCCGTCTGGAGACAGTGGCCACCCCCTGGGCCTTGGGGTCCCCGCCTACTGGCCCGGGGGGCCGCTGCGGAGCTGACGGGGTCTGACGGTGGAAGCCTGTGCTGGCTGCGTCTCGCCGTCTCACGTTGGAGGCTGCCGGGAGGCCGCCTTCCCCGCCGCCACCCAGAACAGGCACTGGGCGGGCCTCCCCGGGGGCGCAGCGGGTGAGCGCTGGGCTGTGAAGCTGCCCGCGGCCTCTGCGGCGCCGGTTCGATCCCCGGCTGCTCCCCGGCCACCGGAGGAGGGTCCCGCATGGCGCGCAGACCTCTCCTGCCGCCCGCTGCTCCCCTCAGCAGTGTACTTCGGTCCTTCTGCCTGCTCTGCTCCCCGCTCTGGCTCTGGTGGATCCTCTCACCCTCCCGCGCTTCTGGCCTGCACCCCAGTTCTTATATAAATAAATAAATAAATAAATCTTTAAAAAAGAAAAACAAGCACTGGGCACCCGTGAGAGTGAGGGGCCCCCGGGTACCCCGGGGTTTCACCAGGTACCCATTTTTGTGTCTGTGACCAAGAATGAGCTCCCAGCCAGTGGTCCTGGCGACGAACTGGCCCTGGCTATGAGGACGCTGCCCCGGCCACCCGGCGCCCCTCTGGCCCACACTTTTTCCAAGTTTTGAATTGGTTGCGAAATACCCTAATTAAAGGGCCGCCCTGGGGGCGCAGGGGGTTAAGATGCAGCCTATGAGGCTGTCCAGCCTCTGCAGCACGAGTTTGATCCCAGCCAGGGAGCTACCCACACGGCGCCGCAGACCCCTCCTGTCTCCCCGCTGCTCCCCTCAGCAGTGGGTCTCAGTGGAGCTGCCTGTTCTGCTCCCCACTCTGTCTCTTGTGACTCCTCTCACCCCCTCATCTCTGGTCTGCACCCCAGCTCTTGTATAAATAAATAAATAAATCGTTGGGGGAAAAAAATTCTAAATAAAGGCCAAGATTTCTAGTCCTCCTTGGAAAGTGGCCAGATGAGCAGGGCAGGAGGTGGCCCAGGCCTCAGGGTGGTGCAGGCAGTGGTCAGGCGACGGCCTGGAGCCGGTGCTCAGCCAGGGACGGCCCCGGGCAGCCAAAGGATCAAGGCCACAGCCCGCGGGCCACACGGGCCTGGCTGGCCTGTGGAGGGGCACGCTGGGGGGCAGGGCTGGGCAGGGGCAGGGCTGGGCAGAGGACACGAGGCCAGGCAGGCCGGGCAGGGGCACACGGACAGAGCACGGGGCTTCCACGCAGTGTCGTTGGCTGTCCAGGATGCCTCTAAAGGGAGGGCTCCTTCGGGATGACCAGCGTGTCCACCCGTTGCCCTGGGCTCAGCCTGGGTGGCACCGGCCTCCTGGCAGAGGTGCCTCGGCTGTCTCAGAGCCCGGCCGCCATACCCTCCCTGGGGCTTTCCAGCCGGAGCTTGGCCCGGCCTGACACCCTTCCCTCCTCCCTTGCCCTCCACTCCTGCTGGCCTCCCAGGGGCTCCCCACCGAGAGCGGGGTCCCCATTCAGAGGACCGGCCGCTAGCTGCCCTGGCAGGCGCCCCACACAGCACAGCCCGCAGAGCCTGGGTGCGCGCCCGCATCTGGGAGGCCCCTGCCCCGGCTGCACGCGAGAGGGACGCGCTCTCTGGCCGGGGGGCACGAGCGTGAGGCTCCCGGGCTTGGGGCGCCCGAGAGGCCCTCCTGGGGGCGGCAGAGGGGAGGGGCCGGTGCGGGGCTGGGCCGTGCAGCGGGAGGCGGCTCTCAGCGAAGCCCGGCTCCAGCCAGGCTCACCTCCAGCCGCACGGCGCCCCTGCCCCACTGGGCACCGCGCACCTGTGCGTCCCGCCACCTGCCTGCCCCAGGCCGCACCCCAACGAGCACAGACGCCAGGCGCTGGGGACACTGGTGCGGGGTCCGGCCGGCCGCCACCCTCAGTGCCGCTTCCCCCACTGGGCCGGGGCGGCCGACGGCCCCGCCGGGTTGCACAAGCCCCTGCCCAGGCGCATCTCAGAAACGCTCCGTCGGCGGCGCCCCCGCCCGCCCCGGCCCCGCACCCTCAGCCGGCCGCCGGAGCTGCGTCCTCCCCGTCAGGCCCGCGCTGGCCGCTGCGCCCCACGGAAGGCCCTGCTCTCTCCGGCCCTGTTTCCAGATAAAGCCTGCGGCGTCCAGTCAGCCGTGTGTTCCCGGGGGCAGGGCCGGAGCTGCAGGGCCAGGCTGCCCCCCAAATCCTCCTCTTCCCGCCCACCCCCCACCCGCCGTGACGCCAGGCGGGAGCAGATCGGGGAGGCTTAGAGATGAGAAGGGCTGACCCCCGGAGGCGGGCAGCTCCTGGCCCACACACACGTCCACTGAGCGCAGCGGCCACGGCCGGGTCACCTGCAGGTCACAGGGACACGGGCCCGGCGCACCCCGCGGGCTAAGCTCTCCAGCCCACGGGACCAAGCCGCGCCCACCCGCCCTACCTGCAGCCGCGTCCTCCTGGGAGGAGAGGCCGGGGGGGCTGGAGCCCAGGTCCAGTAACTTCCACGTGTCCTGGAGGGCACTGCCGGCCAGGGAGGGGGGCCTCCGGGTGTGGTGATCATGGTCCTCGGGGCGCCCCTGCTGGGTTGGGAGGTTGCGGGAGGCACCGGCCGCAGCGGGCAGTGAAGGGCCGGCAGGCAGCGAGGGGCGGGCGGGCGAGGCGGGTGGCTCAGAGGCCGCTGCCCTCTGAGCGTGGACAAGCCCAGCAGAGAACAAGGGCCCACGCCCCTGGGAGGGTGGGAAGGAGCTCCCAAGTGCGCCCCGGGGTCTCTGCCAGCCTGTCCCGCCCGTGGCACCCCCACCCCCCGCAGGCCCCCCCAGGCAGCGGCATGAGCACCGCCCCTCGTCCCCCCCAGCTGCGCCGTGGGCGCTGCCGCCCAGCCCTGGCCCCGCCGTCGCGCGCGTCCAGCCAGAGGCTCAGGCAGAAGGAAACGGCCGCTCTGCCGCGGCAGGAGGCCGAGCTCCGGGGCGGGGAGGAGACAATTCCACGCTTCTGGGGTTTGGGACGCCAGGGACTCGGCGGCTCCTGCCAGCAGCCGGCGCGGGGGGCTGGGGCCGCCCTTGGGCCCTCTGGTCCTGCAGCCGTGGGGACCCCCCCGCCCCGCTCCAGCTGCGCGTCTAAGTGACACGGATGCGCAGCCCAGACACGTGGCCCCGGATGCCCCCTCTCCGCCCGCTGCGGGGCCTCCTGCTGCTGGGCTCATGGTCTTCACCCCGAGGCGCCACCGTCCACGTCCTTCCAGACATGCAGAGGACCCGGCCCCGGCAAGGACGCGCCAGCTCTGTGGCCGCCCCGCAGGGGCCCCTGAGCAGGCCGAGGGGCCGGCGCCCTCCAGCCCCCGGGGAAAGGGCAAGCGCGGGGACGGTGCCGGGGGGGCGGTCGGCAGGGATGCCGGGATGCCCTGTGCTGGCTGCACTGAGGCCTGGGGGGACACAGCGTCCAGGGACATGTTACCTGAGAGGCGGGCGGGGGCCGTCCCTGGGGGGGGGCGCCATCGGGAGCCGCTGTGGGGGGCGAGGGGCGAGGCGGCGGCCCTGCAAGAAGACGAGGGCGGCTTCCGTGGGCGGCCCCCGTGGGCAGCCCGACCCTCCCCCGCAGCCCCCGTGCCCAGCCTCGGGCAGGCAGGCCGAGGACCCAGCCTGGACGTGAGGCCTCCTGGGTCTGCGCGGCGCCTGGCTCCAAAGCCGGCTCCGAAGCTGCACCGGGGTCCGCGAGTGGGGGCCGGGGTCACTACGCAGACGGGACCTCACGCGGGGTCCAGGGGTGCCCGCGGGGGCAGCCTGTGACCCTCTGCCCAGGACACACCCCAAAGACCTGAAGTTGGGGGTTCAAACCAAAGTCAGGACCCAAGCTTCCGTCGTCAGGACAGAGCCCGGCAGGGGCCTGCAGGGGGAGGGGCCTGACCCAGGGCGGCCGGAAGCCGGTGCCGCGGGGCCCGGCGCGGGTGTGCGAGCCTGGACTGAGGTGCGGTGGGAATGGAGGTGCCAGGGAGAGGCCCCTGGTTTGCTTTTAGAGCTGAACCGTGCCAAGGTCTGAGCAGAGTCGGCCGACCCAAGGTCCCCCACGTGGCCCCTCCGGGGTCGTTGCCTCGTGTCCACTTTATGGTGTGTGGTTGGCCGAGGAGATGGTCTCTGAGCTCAGGGCAGCGGCTGCGCCCCGGGGCCATTCCCGACAGCCCGCGGCGGGGGAGGGGCCGCTCTGAGCTGGCAGGCGCCTCGGGGTGGGTGGAGGCCTCACGTTGGAGGGGTGGGTGCAGCCTGGGCCCAGGGAAAGACCCGCAGCCTCGGGGAGGGCGGCCGGGAGGGAAGACTCGTGCCAAAGGGCCGCTGAGGATGCTCGCGCGCGTCAGGCGGCCACGGGCCCCGAGGCGACGGCCATGCAGGGCAGGGCAGGGCAGGACGCCGGGACCTGCGGGGAGAGGCCTCGTCCCGGGCCAGACCTGCAGACCTCAGAGCGTCTCCGGCGTGAGCAGCAGGGGCCAAGGTCACTGCGAGGCGGAGCCGCTGCCCGCCGGGGCCAGGGCGTGTGGAACTGCGGGCAGGAGCATGGCCGAGCCGACCCACCTAACCCCGCACCCCGCGCGTGCCGGGACAGACCGAGCCGGACGCCGACCGGTGCCGCTCTCACCGGGCCGTCTCTAGCCGAATCGGAGGCTCAGCAGGAAAATGACAAGAGACAGAACACGGACACCCAGACACGCTGCCGCCCGCGCACAGGAGGGGGTGGGGAGGGCGGCGGGGCGGTGCCCGCATCCTCTGTCCGAGGCTCGCTGCGGCGGCGCCCGGGGGCCCAGGGGTCCTGCTGGCCCACACCGGCCGCGGCGTGCCCCTGCAGACCGCGCGCCTGGGGCCATGGGGGCTGCGCCTCCCCCTTGATTTTGCCATAAACCTAAAACTGGCCCCACAAGGTCTTTAAAATTGTTAGTCACTCAAACCCTTAGAAACTGCCTTTGTCCCCCCGGGGGCCAGGGCCGGGGCGCAGCGCCGTGAAGCTGTCCGCAGCCTCCGCAGCACGAGTCCACCCCGGCCAGGGAGTGACCCCCGGGCGCAGCAGCCCTCTCCGGGCTCCCCGGCCCCCTCAGCAGTGGGTGGGTTTCAGTGGATCCGCCTGTTCTTTTTTTTTTTAAAGATTTATTTATTTATACAAGAACCGGGGCACAGTCAGAGGTGTGGGAGGGAGAGGACTCGCCAGAGCGGGGAGCAGAACAGGCAGACGACTGAAGACGCTGCTGAGGGGAGCCGCGGGCACGGCAGGAGGGGTCTGCGCGCCATGGGGGAATCCCCCTGGCTGGCCGGGAATCGAACCCGCCCTGCAGAACCCGGCTGCGGACGGCTCCACAGCGCTGCGCTCAACCCGCTGCGCCGCCGGGGAGGCCCGGATCGGCCTGTTCTGTTCCCCACTCTGTCTCTGGGGAGTCCTCACCCTCCCCGCCTGTGGCCTACACCCCAGTTTTACAAAGGAAAATAAATAAATAATTAAGTAAATAAAACCCAATCTTTAAGAAAGCCCTGCCTCTGGAGGGGGGAGGGCCGTGGGGGTGGGGCGGGGCCCACGGGCGGCTCAGAGCTCCAGCCAGACCAGGACAGGCCGCCAGGGCCACCTCACGCTGCGTGGGAAGGGAGGGTCCGGCAGGAAGTGACCCGCCTCAGGCCAAGCTGCTGAGGCCTCGGAGCTTGTCGCGTGACCCTATCGGGCGGGGCCCTGGGGCCGGGCTCCGGCAGGACAGCCACCCTGTCCAGGAGCCAGCGCCCAGGCTGGGGTCCGCGGCCTCCGGCCATCTGGGTGGCCGCCTGGGACACGCTGCCGCCTTGATCCCGCCACGGCACGGCCCGGGAACGCCGCCGCCCCCGCCAGGCCCAGCCCCAGAGGCCGGGGCACCTGCGGGCTCCCCACGGCGGCCAGGCAGGGCCCCGGGTGCAGGTCCTCACCCGCCGGGCGGCCCCGCTCCGCACGCAGCCGGTTGCCCAACTCCAGGAGCTGCTCCCTCTCCTGGCGCAGCCGCAGGATCTCCCTGGACGCCTCCTTCAGCTTCCGCTGCAGCTGCGGGATGGGCCGGGCAGGCCGTGTGGGCGCGGGGGGCCCCAGCAGGGCCTGTGAAGAGAGCACGGCGGGGGCCGGTGAGCCGGGGGTGGGGGGCAGCGCAGGCGGCCACGTGGGCCTCGACTCCCCGCCGCCCCAGCCGCGCCACCTGCACTGTGCCCGTGAAGGCAGCTGGGCAGCCCAGCTGCGCCCGAGAAGGCCCTTCCCATTCTGGCCTCTGGCGCCCCAGGACCGCGGGGGGACGGGTGGGGGGGCCGGCGCCTGCCTCCGCCTGGACCCGGCATGCTGGGCCCTCCCCCGCCCGGTGCCCCCGACTGTCTCTCCCGCTGCCTCTGGACACCCTCCACCCGCGGGCCACGGAGGCCCCCCGCCCGACTGCAGGGGCAGCGGAGGAGGCCGGGAGGCGGCCGAGGGCGCAGGGCTGTGTCCAGGCCGAGCAGAGGCCCCACGCGCCAGTGAGGAGGCGGCCCGCGGCCACCCGCGGCAGGCACCAGGGCCCCCGGAAGGCGGGTGCAGGAGGGGGCTGGGAGGGGGCAGGGGCTCCTCGAGTCCGGCCGGCGGCCGCTGGGGCGTGACCGGCTGACCCGTGGAGCGCCGCTCGGGCTCCTGGCCGCGGGAGCTGGCGCCAGAACGAGGAAGCGGCCGGTCTCGGCACAGCCTGTCCCGGCTCCCAGGCGTCCGGGCTGGCAGGCGCCCCTGCCCTCCGGGGCCTGCTGTTCTAGGTGGCCCGGGAGCCGGGGCAGCACGGTCCCTACGCGGGCCAGGCGGGGGGAGGGGGCGGGCGGGCCGCCAGCCAGCAGCGGGGCAGGCTCCCACAGGGGCCTGGGGGGGCTCCCGGGGCTGACCCCCCGCAGCCCGGTCATGGCCCCTGCTGCTCCACCTGGGGCCCCCAGGAGCACGGACGGGGGCTCCCAAGTCAGGAGCCTCAGAGCCCGCGGGGGCGGGAGCTCACCTCGAGGAAACCGCCTGCCTGGGCTGTGGGGGGGGGAGGGGGCACTGCCTGCCCTCCTGGCCCCTGTCGGGCCCGGGGCCCGGTGAGCAGGGCTGCGGCCAGGCCGCACTCTGGCCCCCTGGATGGCCCAGCGGGTGGGCTAGCAGCCTGCACCGGGTGTTCTCGGGACCAGCCCTGCCCCGGCCGGCTGCCTGGCAGCCCCGAGTCCCACTGCTGGAGGGCCCGGAGGGGCCAGTCCGCGAGACCTGGGCACCTGCTCCCAGGCGGCTGCGGAGCGGGGAGGTTGGGGGGGTGGGGGGGTGGGATGGGGGGGCGGGGGCACCCACGCCCACAAGGGCTCCAGGCCTGCGGACTCTGGTCCCTGCTCTGGCAGCCAACACTGCCCCCTGGTGGGCCTGGACGGCTCTGCCTGGTGGCGCGGGCCGCGGGGCCGAAGGCTGGTGTGGACACAGGGTTGGGCAGCTGTAGGAGGGCAGGGGACGCTGCTGGTCAGTCCACCCATCTGTCCACCACCTGCGAAGGGCCTGAGTGGGCCTGGGCTGGGCCGCAGACACGGGGCGCGGGTGTGCCCAGCCTGCACCGGTGAGCTGGGGCATGAGGCCCCGGACCACACTCTGACGCCGAATGCCCCCTCGAGGCCGCAGAGGCCCCCACGCGCCTGCCGCCCCCTTGTGCGTGCTCTGCTGTGCCTGCTGGCTCTGCCAGGGCCCGCGGCCCTTCACGTCCCCAGAGTGTCCCTTTGCTGAGGGTCAGGCCGCCCTCAGTTGCTGCTGCCACACGTCACGGACAGTCCGCTCTGCAGCTGCCCTTAGAAGCAAGGTCATGCCGGTGTGTGGGACAGAGGCCACCCCGCTCCCTCAGGTCTGGCCTGGCCTCCAGCTTGGTGGGCATGGGTGCCGCGACTGGCCAGTGGAGTCAGGCCTTGGCAGCCCCTGGCCACAGTGCCAGCTGCTCTCAAGCCACCGAGGACCTCACCAAACGGAGGCCCCGACGGGAGCCAGTGTCCATCGACACATGCCGTGGACTTGGCAGAGCCTGCCCAGTGCACGGTCAGGGACGCAGACACGTCCACGGGGCACAGGCCCTGAGCGGCCAGCTGGAGGGTCTTACGAGGAGCGGGGGGGGGCTGCCCCTCCCTGCTGCCCACCCAGTCCAGGCAGCGTCAGCGGCGAGACGGGGCAGGTGAGCGTGGCACCCACCTCTGTCCCAGGGGCCCCGCCGGCCGTGCCCAGGTGCCGCTGCAGCTCCGCCACCTGCTCCCGCAGCTCCATGACCTCCAGCTGTACCTGGTCCACCTCACGGGGCAGCTCCCGGCGCACGGCGCCCAGGTCCAGGGGCTCCCGCCGCACCTGCGGATGGTCAGCGGTGTCAGGGAGGGGGCGCGGGCTCAGAGGGCAGGAAGGCCGGGGGCAGGGGCTGGCGGGAGGGGCCGGAGCACGCTGGGCGGTCACGGGGAGCCCATGAGCTGGTGGGTGCACTGCCCGGGTCCGAGGGCACGGCTGCAGCCAGTGGGCGGCGGTCATCCCGGAAGGGAGCCAAGGGCCGGGGGCAAGGGCCTGCGTCTGGACTCAGGCCAGCCAGGGCCACGCCGAGTGCCGGGCATGCCTGGGCCCTGCCACCGCCGGCCCGCCCGGGAGTGCCCTCCGGCGGAGACCCGTGGGGGCGGCCATACCTGCTGCTGCAGCTGGACTAGCAGCCGGCTCAGGAGTCCCGCTCGGGCATCCAGCCGCCTGAGCGCCCGGCCCAGGGGTGCGGCACTGGCCGGCTCGGCTGCGCCTGCGGAGGGCGAGGCTGGGCTGAAGGGCACGGGTCAAGAGCTGCCCTCTCTGGGGGGGGACTTCATGCCCGCTGCATCCTGGGGGGAGGCCCGCAAGCCCCGGGCGCCACGTGGACACCAGGAGGACACCTCACCTCATCCCCGGGTGGCCACAGTTGCCCCCCAAAGCCCGAGCTCACAGGCCACACAACTGCAGCTGGGGGCGGGGCCCCGGGCAGGTCCCGGGAGCCCCAGGGGGAAGGGGCCGCACGTCTGGGAAACAGAACCCCCAGTTCAAACCCCAGCGTGGCGGGGTCTAAGCTGAGCTCTGGCCACCAGCCGAGGACACGGAGCAGCGGCTGGCAGCCGCTCCCGCGGGGAGCAGAGAAGGGGGCACCGCGCGCCGGGCCGGGAGGCACAGGCCATTGCCGGGAGGGTCTCTGCCCCGCCGCGCAGGAGCTCGTCCACGCCCCCCAGGGGCCCCGGGCAGGCGGGGTCGGGCCACGCGCTGCCTCCTGCCCACCACATGCAGCCAGGGCCGCAGACGCCAGGACAGGCCTGAGTTGGGGCCCCCGGGCAGGCGTCCCCTCCCCCCGCCAGACACATAGGGAGCGCCAGGCCAAGCCCCCGCCGGCCGCCGCCAGGGCCCTGCTGCCCGGGGGCTCCGGACACAGGCTCGTGTCCAGAGCAAAACGCCAGACGCCCAGGAGGGAAAGGCGAGCGATCCCCTCAGCACCGGCCCTTCGGAGGCCGTCCCGCCGCCCCCTGGCCCCACGCCGGCCTCCAGAGCCGCGGCCGGGCCGGCCCCAGACGGGGGTTCTGGGCAGCGAGACACCAGGAGCGGAGAAAGACAGTCCGGCCTCCACGCTTCACGGGGGATGCGAGCAGGACCGCCGCCCGCTGCAGGCAGCCCCCGCCCGGCCGCCCTGGCCCGCCCGGCGCCCGCTCCGAGCGGCAGCGAGGCTGGTCTGTGTGCCGCCTCCCGGCCAGGGCCGGGCCCACGGGACGAGTCTTACCCGCGGCGGCCGGCGGGGCGGGCGCGGGGGCAGGGCCAGCTGCGGGCGGGGACGTCTCCGCGGGGCCCAGCACGCGCCCCAGCTGCTCTTCCAGGCTCTTAAGTCGATGCTTCAGGCTTCGTATTTCTGCCGCAAGGGCCTGCGCGTGACCTGCCCAAAGCCCGGGGCTGCAGCGCGGGAGGGCCCGGCGCCGGCACCGCAGAGCTCGGCCGGGGAGCCCGGGCGCCCACCGCCGGCTCCTGAGCGTCACCCGCGCGTCTCCCGCTTCCCCCCACCTCCCGTGACAACCCCGCTGCGCTGCGGGGTGCTGACCCGGCGCTCAGCCCCTCCCCCCGCAGGGGTCGCCCGCCCCACTTCCAAACGCCTTATGGATGGGGCCGAGACGACCCCCAGGGCCGGAGTAGAGGCCGGCCCCGCCTCCCCCCTCACCGGCGGGGGTGCCGGGGGCCTCTGCGGGGGCAGGGCCTGGCCGCTCAGCGCCTCCATCTCCCGTCGCATCTGGGCCACGGCGCCCCGCAGACTCGCGTTCTGCTCCTGCAGCCGCTGGACCTCGCTGCTGGGCAGAGCGGCCGCCCCGGGGTCTCCGTCCTGGCGCCCGGGGAGCGCCTGTGGGGCGGGAGGAGGACGGGCCTGGCCGAGGCTGTGCGGGCCTGAGCTGCGCCAGCGCTGGCCCCTTCCCCGCAGGTCTCAGGAGGCAGGACGGCTGCGGCTCCGGGACCTCCTGTCCAGGCAAAGGCCGTCGGCCGCCGCAGTGGGGGCCGGGACAGAGACAGGCCGGGCAGGTGTGGGCGCGGGAGGGAGGCTGGAACCTTCCACTCCTCAAAGGTCATTGCGGCCGCTCACGGGGGACCCCAGGCTCTGGAAACAGCGGCCCACAGAGCCGCGTCTCACAGGGCACGACTCCCGGGAGCCAGAAGGTGGCCACACGCAAGCCCGCCAAGCCGCGGCCGGGGGCGGAGCACAGCGGCGGCTGCCACCACGGGGGGCGGGCGCTTCACGGCCGAGACCCGCGCTGCGGGCGAGCTGGACACTCACTCAAAGCCCAGCACCAGCAGGTCCAGAGGCCGCGGTGCCAGGCGCGCGGGGCAGGGAGCGCGTGCTAAGGGCTGGGGGCTTCTTTGTGGGGAGGCAGAGCAGTCCCCCCACCAGACGGCGCGGGGGCCGCAGCGAGTCGTTCCTAACCCTAAAACGGAGCCGCACCCCCGGAGGCTCGGGTGGACGGACAGTCGCCCTGAAACTGACGGGGCCCGTGCGTGGCAGCCGCGGGACCCCACTCTCCGCGCAGCAGACCCCTCCGGTCTCCCCGCTGCTCCCCTCGGCAGTGGATTCCAGCGGATGTGCCCGATGGGCTCCCCACTCTGTCTCTGGGGAGTCCTCTCACCCCTGCACCTCTGGCCCGCACCCCAGCTCCTCCCCACATTTGATGGCCCGCACGGGGACAGAGTATGGGTCGCAGGGCACGGAGCCCCCCTTATCCCTTCCCTCTCACCAGGTGACTGCGAGGCCCCCCGGAACAGTGGAGGTGCACCCCAACATTGCTGAGAGGCTCCAGGCGCCCTCAAAGATGCCACGGCCCGATCGGCGCAGAACTGCCTTTCCTCCCTCGGCGCCCCGGTGGCTGCTGCTGGCGGACGGCAGCTGAGGGGCCCGGCTCGCGCGCCCGAGGTCCTGGACGGCCCGGAGCTGGGCAGCGCGCCTCAGCCGGGCGGGGGGCCTCCGCTCTCCCCTTCACCTCTCCCTACTTGCTCCACGCAGCGACCCCGCCCCAGCCTCCGCTCCGCACCTGGCCGTGCGCCGGCCCAGCTGTCCACGCAGCCGACGGGGCAGCCGTGAGGGGGACGTCCGGGCCGGCAGCTGTCCTGCTCCGAGTCCGGTCTACTTGGCCCTTAGTTTGCGGGGGACGCCCAGGGCACAGGGCTGTCCCTTCTGCACCCTGCCTGGCGGCCTCGGCCCGGGGGCCCTGCGGGGCCAGGACCGCGGGACGGCCGTCTCTGCAGCAGGCCTTGCTCCCGGGCTGGGGGCTGAGACACCGGAGCAGACCACGCTCCAGACTCTGAGGCGCAGGCGTTTCGGGCCTGCCCGGCACGAGCAGAGGATCGGCCTGCACACGGCCCTCGGTCCCACCGGCCGCCAGATACCCGTCCCCAGGCCCCAGGCGCCGGCCTGCCATGGCCAGCAGGAGGCGCAGAGGAGGCCTCGGCAAGGAGCCGGCCAGCTGCCCGGCCCAGGCAGCCGGGGGCCGGGCAGGCGCGGGGCTGAGGCCCGGAGCGGAGGAGGCCCCCGCAAGGCCGTGGGCCCCGTGCTCCCCGGTCCCTGCGGCTGGGGCTTGCTCCGGCTGCCAGATGCGGCTTGGGACTCACTCTGCAACCGAGGCAGGCACGACCCCGGGTGCACCAGCGCCCTGGCTTTCCCACGCACAGGGCCAGCCGCAGCCCCCAGCCTGCTTGACCACCGACCTCCGGAGGGCCCGGGGCTTTCTCCCTGGGGCCATTCCAGACTGCAGGCCTCAGCTACCCACAGCTGCTGTCTTGAATTGGGCACGAAGGCCCCTCACGTGCAGGGGACATGCCCACCAGGCGCCCGTCCTGCCCAGGCCTCATGCCAGGCCTCACAGGGGCTCTGCCTGACCCGCAGGGCGCCCTCTAAGGCTCCACTCCCCCGCGCTGGCTAGAAGCTGCCAAACAGCCCTCCAGGCCCCGAGCCCCCGCCCCCCAGCATCCCCCAGCCCGAGTCGGGAGTGGGGAGTGGGGGGGGCCAGCACGCCCGACCCCACCTCACTAGGCCTGACCCCATCCCCACTGGCCTGGCCCCACCCCCCACACAGCTGGCGGGCGCCTCGAAGCTGGGAAGGTGAGTGGCCTCAGGAGTCCAGGGGCACGGCCCAGCGAGGGACACCCAGCCCCGCCTCCCAAAGCCCGGGCTTCCTGCGGAGTCTGAGGGACGCCTTGTTGGGTGAACGTGACTCTGGGGACACCTACGGGTGGGGCTGCTGCGGAACCCCAGGCTCACAGGGCATGGGGGGGCCCTTCTGGGCGCCGTGGGTGAGCAGGGGCACAGGCTGGGCAGGGGCCGCAGCGCCCTGACCTCCGCGGCCGGCCTGAGGCCCAGCATGTGGCAGACGTGGCTCCTCCCGGCCCAGCGCCACTCCCGTGGGTCTGCCTGGCGCTGCCCCACAGCCTCCTGGGCTTTCAGCAGCCGTGGGGCGGCGCGGCGGGCAGAGCTGGCGGGGGCTGAGGGCCTGCGGCCTGACCTGGGCCTCCCCAGCCTCAGGCAGCGGCCTGGGCGTCCGCAGCGCCTGCAGGGCCTGGTCCCGCTCCCGGGCCAAGTCCTTCAGCACCACCTCCTGGTCACGCAGCCGTCGCTCCGTCTCCTCCAGCTTGGCAGCCACCTGCGGACACCGGGACTCAGCTTCCGCGGGGCCGGGCCAGGCGGCTGCTGGCGGGCAGGCGGGGCGGGGTGGGGCGGGGTGGGGCGGGGTGGGGCGGGGTGGGGCCGGGTGGGCTTCTATCCGAGGCCGCAAAGCCCGCGACCTTGTGCTCGCAGCTGCAGGGCCGCCCGCCGGGAGCGAGCCCCGCAGGACACCCCGCCGCGGCCGCGCACCTGGTCCCTGGCCGCGCTCAGCGCCTGCACGAGGCCCTCCGCGCGCCGGTGCAGGTCCCGCTCGACGCCGTCGCAGCGCCGCTGCCAGTCCAGCTCCAGCTGCGCCTTGTCCCGCTGCAGGCTCTGCTCCCGGCCGGCCGCCAGGGCCAGCTGCTGCCCGTACCTGCGGCCGTTGAAGAGCTCAGGGGGCCCGAGGGGTGGGCGCCGGCTCGGCCCCCTCGACCCGCCCCAGCAAGGCCCGTGTCAGACGGCGCCGCCCCGCACCCCACGGACACCTGGAGCCGCCACAAGCCGGAAGACGCTGGAGCCGGCGGCGGTGGCCGAGGGGCCAGGCGGGCGCCGCTGCGTTTCAGGCCTGTGAGGAGCCGGCGGAGAGACCGCCCGAGGGCCAGCTGCGGGCCCACAGCCAGGCTCAGGCCAGCCGCGGGGAGCAGAGGCTGCGGCAGCTCCAGGGCCGCCCGCCCGGGGGACAGAAGCGTGGCGCCCGAGGGGGTCCGGGCCTCAGCAGGCCGCCGGGCAGCAAGGGGCCGCGGGGCCAGCGCAAGGGCGGCAGCGGGGGTGCAGCGGCGGAAGGACCAGCACCGCGTCGCGGCCGTCGCCCAGGCGCCCGGGGCAGCCACGAGGCCCGGGGACGCGGCCCGGGCAGGCGAGGGGTCTGGGCGGGAAGCAGGGCCGCGGTCGGCGCCCCCAAGGGCTGCAGAAGCCGCCTGAGGGACAGCGAGCGGCTGCCCCGCGGCCCAGCCCGGCTCTCTGGGGGCGGCGCGCCCACCGGGAGTCCCGGCCGCTCGCGGCTCTGGGACGGCGGGACCCGGCGCGGCGCTTGCGGGGGGGACTCGCTCACCGCGGACCTCGTAAGGGACAGGCACTGAAGGACGCGCGGCCTTCGTAGGGCCCCGCCAGGCGCGGAAGCTGGAAAAACAGCCGCCGACAGGGCGGGAAGGAAAGACAAATGGTCGACACGAATCTCACAGCAGCGGGAGGGTCAGGCCCGGCTCGCCCTCTAAGGCTGGGCCTGGTTTCCTGGCCCCGCGGGGCGGCGTGGACACGGGGGGCGGGGTGGACTCAGCAGCAGGAGGGACTCAGCAGCCTCCTCCACCCAGCCCATCTCCTCAGGACCCTCCGGCCAGGGGCGGCCGGCGGGGGGCAGGCGCACGCTGGGCACCTGTGAGGGCACCGGCAGGGCCACCCCGCCCAGTCCTCGGAGGACAGCGCCACAAGACGCGTCCCGCAGCCCGAAGCCAGCGGCCCAGAGAGCCGCCCCGCCCGGCCCCTGCGGACGGCGGCAGCAGCGCTGTCCTGGCAGCCCTGGGGAGACGCGTGGGCTGAGGGTGTCCAGTTGGGGCACAGCACTGAGGGGACGCTGCCGTTTCCCGGAGAGAGACCGGCCCAAGTCGCCGCCGGAAGCCCACCCTCGGCAGCCGCTGGAGAGCGACCAGTCGAAGCAAAGGACGTGCACAAGAACCGAGCAGGCGGACGGGCCGGGCCGCGCCCAAGAGCAAAGCCCCGAAGCTGCGTCTCCGGAAGGGCCGTACTGACCCGGCGCGCGGCCGCGGTGGGAGGAGAGGGCAGGGGCCGCTGGCCAGCATGCGGGTAGCACGACCCCACCAGGGAAAGGGTAGACCCCAGTTCATGCCAGCGACGTCCAGGCTCAGGTGAGAGGGACAAACCACCGACAGACCCACACCCACCGCTGGGAGTGTGGCGGCGGCAGGGCTCGGGGAGGGCCGGGGCGGGCACTGTCCCCGCATGTCCGTTCTGTGCCCACCATGGTTTGGAAAACACATGGTGCCAACCAGGCGAGGCGGCTGGGCAGCCGGGCCTGCTCCTCACAGGATGCTGGGCGGGGCCCGCACTGCCCACCTGGCCACGTCCTGCTGGCTCTGGGCCAGCTGCGCCCGGAGCGAGGCGGCCTCTTCCCGCAGTGCCTGCGCCTGCAGGTCCTTGGAGACCATCTCCTGGGACAGCTGGGCAACCTGGGCGTCCCAGCCGGACTTCAGTGCTGACGCGTCCTCACGGAGCCTGGACAGACGTGACGCGGCTCTCCTGGCTGCTGCATGCACGGCCCCCCACGCGTGCCCGCTGCTGACACCCACTCGGCTGCACCCCGGACGCCGCGCCCCGAGCCCCGCCATGCCCACACTGCTGCCCGACCCGCGGCTGGCCGGCCCCCCGGGACTCGCTGGAACACCACCCCCCGCCTGCACTGTCCGCAGTCTCCACCTAGACCCGGGGACACTGCTCATCCCCGAAAAAGGAGAGGAGCACGGGGTGTCTACCCCCACCCCCCGCCCCCGCCCCCGCCCCTTCCAGGGAAAGGAAGACACGAGGGCTGAGGGAAACCACTGGAGCGACGGGGGCCCCGCGGCGGCCAGGCCCCTATGGCCGGGACCAGGGGGGCGGGTGCAGGGGCCGGGCCCGGCCACTCACCGCTTGATGAGGGCGTCCTTCTCCCTGGCCGCGTCCGCCTGCCTCCCCGCCGCCCCGCGGAGCTGTGCCTCCAGGGCCTCGCACCGGGCCTGCAGCTCCCGGGCCCCGGCCTCCAGGGTCTGCAGCTGCTCAGCCTGGGCGCCCCTCGCCGCCGCCAGCGCCACGTCCCTCTCCCTGGCCAGACGGTCCAGCTCCTCATGCCTGAAACACAGCGGGGTCCTGCGCTGCCCCGGGCCCTGACCGCAGCCCCTGCAGGCGGCCCGGCCGCTGCTCCTGGGCGCCCGCGCGAAGGTCCACACCCCCGGACGCCGGCCAGCGGCCGCAGCGGCCGGGCACGGGGCCGCCCCAGGCAGGGGCCACAGACAGGTGCTGGCGCGGCCTTGCTGGGGAGGGGCGGCCGCAGGCAGCCTGGCAGCGGGAGGGCGCCTGGCGACACCAAGCGGGCGTTCTGCCACCCGCAGATGTCCATCTGGGCGGCGCGCGCACCCGCGCTCACCGCGACAACGGGCCAGAGCGCGACCCGTGTCTGTTTCTGGCTCCTGTGACCGCGCGAAACCCTCGACACCGAGGCCACCCACCTCGGGCCCACGCCCAGCGCAAGGGCAGCGGAGGGGCCCACCCCGTGGTCACCGGCCCACGCAGGCTGGGGCCGCAGGGGCCGCAGCGATGGCGAGGGGCTGCCGTGGGGGGCACCGCCAGCGCCTTGGCGGGAGCACGGGTCTCCCCATGGGGCTGAGGATGGAGCTGGCGGGGCCGGGCCCGCGCTGACACGCACCTGCTCCGGAGGGTCTCCTGCTCCCCTCTCGTGGCCAGCAGCAGGGCCTGGAGCCGCGCCTCCAAGTCTCTTATCCTGGAGAGAGCCAGCGTGAGTGGCCGACAGAGCCGGCCCAGCCCAAGGGCCCCGCACCAGGGTGCGCACCGGGTGTCCTTGGCGGCTGCCAGGTCCTGCAGGGCCTGCTCCCGGCGCCGCAGCTCCTGCTCCAGCTCGGCGCGCGCCCCCTCGGAGCCCCGTGCTGTCTCCGCAGCCCGCGCGCGCGCCTCCTCCAGTGCGGCCAGCTCCCGGCTCAGGGCCTTCACCTGCGGGGGCAGAGCCCGGCGGTGCTGTGCGTGCCGGAGGCCGCGCCAGGGCGCGGAGACCCCAGAGGGCCGAGACCCCCGCCACCCGCCCGCCTGCCGTGCCCCAGCGCCAAGGAGGGTGCAGGAGGGGCACATGAAGATGGAGGGCCTGGCCCTGCCGCCCCTCCCTGCCCGTCCCCTGTCCTCGTCCTAGGTCCCTGTGGGCCGCTCCCCGCAGGGCTGGGGCTGGGGGCTGTCAGGGGCCGGCCACAGGGCTGGTGCTCTGGGAAGCACAGCGTCTGGTGGGAAGAGTGGCCGCGAGGGCACCTGGGGCCTCAGGGCCTCTGGGTTGAGGCTGCAGGGCTCCCTGCACACCAGCAGCAGGCTGCACCCCGCCTGGGGACCATCAGCCCAGGCCAGCACCCCCGCCCTGTCCAGCTCTGTCACCCGCCCCCAGCGGGTCCTGGTCGAGGTGCTCCAGGTCGGGTGCCCAGAGGAGAGGCCACAGCCTCAGCCAGGAGCACCATCCCAGACCGGCGCGGCCCGCAAGGAGCTCTGGGAGCCTCTTAGGGGGGTGCCCTGGGCTCTCCTCCCCCGGGGGCGGGGCTGCCCCCCACCCTGCCCCGCGCCCCGCCCCACGTCCCGCCAGCGGCCCCGCCGACCTCGAGCTCGCGGGCCAGGACCTCGCCGCTCATGCTGCGCGCCTGCTGGCCGGCCTCGAGCTCCCGCCTCCGCAGCTCGGCCTCGAACTCCTGCAGCAGCTCCTGGACAGAGAGGCCCGGGGGAGGGCTGGGCCGGGCGGTCCCCACTCTCGCCTCAGGTGCCCTTCCAACCCAACTCCGCAGGGTCGGCCCGCGCCCCCGCCCCGCGTGTCCACCGGCCGCGGTCCGTGCTTCCCGCGGTCGGCTACGGGCAGCCCCGGAGGCTCCTGCCCGCGGCCCGACCCAGCCCCTGCGCCCGCCTGCCCCACCGTCCTCCAGAGACAATCCCCGGGAACCGCTGTCCTCGCACCTGCCTCTGCAGCGCCAGGTCGCCGTCCAGCGCCTCCAGCCGCCTCTCCAGCCGCCGCCGCAGGTCCTCGCACCGCGCCCGCTGCTGCGCCAGCTCCCCGGCCCCGGCGCTGCCCGGCACGCGCGTGAGAAGCCGCCCCGCCCGGCCAGGGGGCCCGCCACGGCTGCGCGCCGGGGGCCGGCAAGGGGGGGCCGCGAGGGGGCGGGAACGACCCGCCCGGTGGTGGGGACCTGGCACCGCGGACCAGGACACCCCGCGTCCCCCGCCAGCCCCGAGGGACGGCCGAGCGCGGCGCTCAGGGACCCAGCGGAGGCGGGTCTGGGGGGAGGACGGGGAAGACCCCGCACGCCAGGCGGCCGGCCCGGGCCCTTCCCACTAGGGGCTTCAGCCCATGGCGGCTCGGGAGCTCCCGGCCTGCCACACCCCTGCAGAGAGGACCCTGCGAGGACGGTGGGCACCAGGCCTGTGCCAGGACCCTGGCGGTGTGCCTCACCCGGCCCCTGCACGCGCCCGCCCCACCCCTGCACACGCCCTGCCTCACCCCTGCACACCCCACCCCTGCACACACCCGCCCCACCCCTGGATACCCCGCACCCCACCCCTGCACGCATGCCACACCCCTGCACACCCACACCCCACCCCTGCATGTACACGCCGCGTCTCACCCCGCACACACACCCCGCACCCTGGAGACGCAGCCAGATGCGCAGGCCCAGGAAGACGCGCTGGTGTCGGGCGGCCGTGGGAGCTGGGGCGTCTCATTCTCACGCTTACCAAAGTCACCCCGCGGAGGGGTCCTGCGTCCCAAGGCCCAGCACACACCCTCACAGCAGAGCAGGTGCTCAGAGGGTCGGCCTCAGGCCGGCTCCCTTAACACACACGCCACGACATTAGCGTGCTGGCGGGCTCAGGCGCGACTTGCTGACACCCACCACTCACAGAAAAAGCGCAGCTATTCAGGCCCATCTCCGACGTATCGGAACCCAGAGAAAGGCTGCGTCTCGCGGCGCTCACCCCTTGCGCTGGGGGCGCTGACGTGCCCGCCCGGCGGCCTCACCTGTGCAGCCTGTCCAGGTCCAGCTGGTGCTTCTGCCAGGTCAGCCGCTGCTGCCGCTGCAGGGCCTCCGTGCGCTGAGCCTCGCGGGCCAGCGCCTGCTGCAGCTTGGCCACCTGGACCCTGAGCTCGCTCAGCTCCGCCTGCCGCGCCTCCTCCAGGGCACGCGCGCGGGCGACGGCGGCGTCACGGAGCTCCAGCTCGCGGTCCCGCTCCTCCAGGAGCCGCAGGTTGTAGATGAAGTCCTCCTGCAGGGCCCGCAGCTGGCCCCGCGCCTCCTGCAGCTGGGCCTGCGCGTCCCGCAGGGCGGCCTCCTGCAGCTGGGCCTGCGAGTCCCGCAGCGCCCGCCACTCCTCCTCCTTGCGCGCCAGCAGCTCGCTCAGCGGGGGCTGCGAGGGCGGCGGCATGGCGGCAGCTGCGGCAGAAGAGGGCAGGAGCTGGGCTCACCCCTGGTCGACGCCGTCCTGGCCAGCAGGTCCTGGGACGCCCCCGACCGCCCGCACACCTGTGCCGCCACCGGCAGGTTAACCTGGCTCCACGCCGGTGCCCGGGGAGCCAGACGCCTTGGGCACCTGCACCCGTCCCTGCGCCGCCCCCTGCAGAGCGTGTCCCCCGGTTTTAGCTCGAGATGACGTGACCCGCGGCAGGGACGGTGACACGTCCAGCCCCTCGGCCCTCGGGTATGCCCACGCCGCCCCCCGGCCCGGCAGGCCCTCCCTCCACCCGGCAGCAGCTGTCAGGGGCTGTCCCAGAACAGCAGGGATGGCCTCGGGGGCAGGAGAGGGCGCAGGCGGCAGCGCCCACGCCCTGCGTTCTGGAGAGCGGGGAGGCCCAGCCTCGACCCGAGCTGCCCACAGCCGGGGGACAGGCCCGCCTGGGGGCTTCCTTTGTTGTTCATCTCCAGCCCGTCGTGACTTACGCTTTCGGGAAACAAACTGCCAGGGGAGAGCAGCGTGGGGGGGACACAAGCCCGGCCTTTAAGTTATTAGACTCAACAGCGTGAGGCTGCTCTGTCAACTGAGCGTCCGAAACACCCGTGTGCACAGGGGCTGGCCCCCCCGTCGGGCACCCTGCCTGGCAGAGGGTGGGGCAGCGGCTGGACTGGGCAGTGCAGCCACCACCTCCCCACCAAGCAGGTGGGGGCCTGCCCCGGCGGGTACTCCTAGGAGCAGTAGGTCTGGGGTCCCACAGAGACACAGCACGTGGGGTGTGTGTCACCCCAAAGCACCCAAATGTCAGAATCCTACAACGTGGGTTTTTCTCTACTTTTTAAAAAAGATTTATTTATTTATGATTCAAGAGCTGGGGTGCAGGCCAGAGGTGCCGGGGGTGAGAGGACGCCCCAGAGACAGAGTGGGGAGCAGAACAGGCGGATCCACTGAAACCCACTGCTGAGGGGAGCAGCGGGGAGACAGGAGACGTCTGCTGGGCTCTGGGGGTCACTCCCTGGCCAAATGAGACTCAGGCCGCGGTGGCTGGCGACAGCCTCACAGTGGGGAGACTGACCCTGGCGCCCCCAGGGAGGCCCCAGGCCTTTTTCTTTAGAAGAACAAATCACACAGGCTCAGGTCACCACGGCTCACTGCCCCCCGCATGGCCCCTGACAGTGGAAAGAAAGCCGGCCTGCAGGGCGGCGTGTGTCTGGGCCCCGCGGCCAGTCTGCCCCTCCCCGCAGGGCCCAGTCTGAGGCCTGGCTGCCCTCCCCCCAGGACCAGCCCCGTCTTGGCCCACGAGGGTGTGGGAAACGCCACGGAGACGGCCCCGCATGGCCTCCTGCCGTCCCAAGGGACGCCGGCCCTGCAGGGTGGCTGGAGGCTCAGCGGAGCACGTCTGGCCCGCAGGTACCCACCATCAGGACGCGCCCCTCCGGGGGGCCTCTGAAGAGTGAGACCCAGAAGGCTGCCGGACACCCCAAGGGACCGAAGGTGTCCTCAGCGCCCCCCCGCCGCCCGCCAGCGGCACAGCCACGTCACTCCCGAAGTCGCTAACAAAAGCAGCAGCTGACGAGGCGGCCGGTGAGCGGATGGCCCCGCAGAGAGACGGCCAGGGGCCGCGCTGGGCCGGGGCGCCAGCAGGTCGTGTCAGGGCGGGTGTCAGGACTGCGTGAGGACAGCTGGACAGGCCACGGCCACGCCGCGGGGACAGTGTGGGGGCAGGGCCGCGGGGGACAGTGTGGGGGCAGGGCCGCGGGGGACAGTGTGGGGGCAGGGCCGCGGGGGACAGTGTGGGGGCAGGGCCGTGGGGGACAGTGTGGGGGCAGGGCCGCGGGGGACAGTGTGGGGGCAGGGGCCGTGGGGGACAGTGTGGGGGCAGGGCCGTGGGGGACAGTGTGGGGCAGGGCCGCGGGGGACAGTGTGGGGGCAGGGGCCGCGGGGGACAGTGTGGGGGCAGGGCCGCGGGGGACAGTGTGGGGGCAGGGGCGGCGGGGGACAGTGTGGGGGCAGGGGCCGCGGGGGACAGTGTGGGGGCAGGGCCGCGGGGGACAGTGTGGGGGCAGGGCCGCGGGGGACAGTGTGGGGGCAGGGGCCGCGGGGGACAGTGTGGGGGCAGGGCCGCGGGGGACAGTGTGGGGGCAGGGGCGGCGGGGGACAGTGTGGGGGCAGGGCCGCGGGGGACAGTGTGGGCGCAGGGGCGGCGGGGGACAGTGTGGGGGCAGGGCCGTGGGGGACAGTGTGGGCGCAGGGGCCGCGGGGGACAGTGTGGGCGCAGGGGCCGCGGGGGACAGTGTGGGCGCAGGGGCCGCGGGGGACAGTGTGGGGGCGCGCCCGGGAGGACCAGGGCCTTCACCCAGCGCGTCACCCCGTGGAGCCAGCGCCCACGCCCACTTCTTGAGCTGCTGAGGGTTTCTCTCAGCTGGGACTGCCCAGGCTCCCCCAACGCTGCGCTGCACCCCAAGCGGGAGGGGCGCCCCGCCACGTGCCCGCCGCGCACTGGGCCCCTGGGCCGAGCGCGCGCGCGGGGGACAAGCAGGCGGCGCCTGGCGGGGCGCGGAGGCCGGGGCGGGGCACCCCGCAGGGTCCCGAGGGGGCGGGGCCCGCAGGCCCGGCTGGCGACGGCTCAGGGACCCATGGCGGGCCCCCCGCCCCCCGCGCCCCCGCGGCACGCTGCCCGCAGGCCTGCGCTGGAGCCGGCGGGGGGCGCGGCCGAGCTGGGGACACGCGCGGGACACGCGGCCGCCCACCCACGGCGGCGGGGTGCGGGAGCCCCGCGGCCCGAGCCGCAGCAGGTGCCCCCGCGCTCGCGCGCGCTCGGGGGACGCGCCAGGCCCGCGGCCTCGCGCAGGAACCGGCCTCGGGTCGCCCCGCCCGCGCCCCCCGCGCCCCGCCACCCGCCCCCCCCGCGCCCCGCCGCGCCCCGCCGCGCCCCGCCGGCCGCTCACCCGAGGCGCGCGCTCCCGGGAACGCCGGGCGCCCGTTGCCATGGCGACCCGCGTCCGGTGCAGCGCTCGGGTTCCGCCGGCCGGAAACGCGAGTCCGGCGCCGGGTTCCGGGCCCCGGGGGCGCCGGGGCCGTGGGGTGTCGGGCTCGCCGACAGCGGGGTGCGCCGCCGGGGAGGGGGCCCCGGGCCCGTGAGCGCAGGCCCCCCTCAGCCCGGCTTCGCCCAGTCGTCGGGACAGGCGCGCCGGGGACGGGGGGCGCGGGGGGCGCGGGGGGGCCCGCGGGGGGCGGGCGCGCCCCGCGGGGCAGCTTTCTCGGGACCCCCCTGGGGTCAGGTCCTGGGGTCCGCCCGCCCGCGCGGCCTCGCCCCGGCGTCTGCCCGATTCCGCGGGGAGCGCGGGCCGCGGTCGAGACCGGGGGCGCCACGCCCCCAACGGGGCCCCGAGAACCGGGGCGCGGGGAGAGCCGGGGCGCGGGGAGAGCGGGGCGCGGGGAGAGCCGGGAGCCGGGAGAGCGGGGCGCGGGGAGAGCGGGGCGCGGGGAGAGCCCCGGGCTGGTAACCCCCTTGCGCCCAACAACCGAGCTGGGTGTCCCTTCAGAAATCTGCGGCGTGTTCCCCGTTTTCATCAGGTGCCAGAAAACACCAAATCCAGACAAGGCGGAGCCTGAGCTAGAGCCTTGTCTGCGAGGGGTGCCCCTGGGCAGGCTGCTGGGCGCTCCCTGGGCTTGGTGCCCCCAGAGCGTCCAGCTGCTGGCCCTTCCCAAGGGGTAGCGGTGCTGAAGGTCGCCCCCTGTCCCCCAAGCCCCGGACCACTTCCCTTGCCCCCCAGCCCCCAGCCGCCCCAAACAGCAGTTGTCACGGAGCCAAGGCCTTCGGGGTTCAAAATCACAGAGACGGGGCCTCCCTGTCAGTCTCGGGCTGGCACCCACGGCCTGAGCCATCCCGGCCAGGGAGTGGCCCCCGGGGCAGACCTCCCTTATCTCCCCGCTGCCCCCTCAGCCCTGTGGCTCAGTGGATCCGCCTGTTCTGCTCCCCACTCTGTCTCTGGGGAGTCCTCTCCCCCCTGCACCTCTGGCCTGCACCCCAGCTCTTGTATGTAAAAAAAAATCACAGACCAAACTGGACTGAAAATGAGCCCCACAAGCCCCAAGCCCACAGTGCCGCCGTTTGCGAGTGGACGTGGCTGACAGACTGCCCGGCGGTGCTGAGGGCCAGCCCCCGGGCAAGCCTGCTAAAAAGACTCCTTTAGTGGGACCCCGTAGGAGCCCCCCTTAGAAAATACCTGTCCCGGGCCTCCCCGGTGGCGCAGCGGCTGAGAGCTGGGGTGCGAAGCTGCCCGCGGCCTCTGCAGCGCCGGTTCGATCCCCGGCTGCTCCCCGGCCACCGGGCGCGGGTCCCACAGGGCGCGCAGACCTCTCCTGCCTTGCCCGCTGCTCCCCTCAGCAGTGTCCTTCGGTCCTTCTGCCTGCTCTGCTCCCCGCTCTGGCTCTGGTGGATCCTCTCACCCTCCCGCGCTTCTGACTGTGCCCAGCGCTTGTGTAAATAAATAAATAAATCTTAAAAAAAAAAAAAAGAAAATACCCGTCTTGGGACGCTGAAGCCCCCAGCTCTGTCTTCCGATTCTGGGCCGCCCTGCGCAGCCCGGTCCTCAGCTCCGATCCCTGCTCCTGTCTCCCCAGAGGCGGCGGCCTGGGCACAAGGTGCCACTGGGGGGCCGCTGGGGACAGCGTCCGGCCTGCTGCAAGGCTCCGGCCCGCCGAGCGCGTTGGGTGAGCCCCGCCCGGCTGGGAACCCGGGGCACTGGCGCTGTGGCTGTCAGCGTCCGGCCGGTGGGCTCCTGGGGAAGGGGTGTATGGGGGGCTAGTGGGCACTGCCCTTCACCTGCCCTCGGGGTGCCTGGCCCTGGGTGGCCCCTGACCCCCAAGAACAGAGCAGCAGGCCGGGCTGGCAGCGAACTCGCACCCCCGTCAGGAAGGGGCCGTGGGTTGGCCGGAGGGGGGGCCTGGGGTCAAGGGCCGGGCTCCCCTCC